AATTGATAAGTATTCACTGGTAAATGGGGTTTGGCTAAAGCATACACGTGCATACACATTTTATGAATTCTCATTATTATCATTCTAACGAACTTATCTTGTAATGCATTGTGACATCTAAAGAACAAGAACTTTAAAGGTAACTCTGTGATATGTTGACAATCAGACACAACTGTATGCATCACTGATAACCTACACAAACAAATATTATACAATACTTTATGAAAAGATTGATAATATCTCTTATAACCAGGAACGATGGTACACGAAAACGTTTTAATGTGATGAATTTATTTCATATTAGAATGAAAATACTGTCCGGGGATGTTTGTCTTTTAATGACTTCCTGCTTTGCTGATGTCGGCTATCTGCTGTCAGAAACAGGTTCCGCTCTTGAGGGTGGTATTTATCCAATTAAACTGTGTACATCCAGACAGTAATTAACTTCAGTGACTGATAGTAAGAAGGATTGTAAATTGCATGGAATGCATATTGCTGAATCTCGTGCCCAGCCATCAGGATACACATTTTTAAGGAATGCATAGGTCTAGACTTTATTATTATTTTTTTATCATCGTTTATCTTAAACATTTCACATGTTTTTCACCTTCGGCCTCGTTCAACAGATAGAAATGAAGTCAAACAACTTGGACTTTTGTGTAGTATTGTCAAGTACTGTATTGTTTATATCTGTCTGACTTTTATGTTAAGAGAAAAGCTGCAAACTAGATTTTATTATCTTAACATGCTGTGACCAAAAGCTAACTGACTTTTATTTATGAAAAACTAGATTCTATAAACACGCGAGCAATTAGTTTGTGTGCTAATACCCTACCAAAAATTGACTCTACAAAACACGCAGCATTAAACATCCCAAGAAGAAATAATACTTGAAGTTTATAGAGACTTCGTTATTCGGTATGTATCATGTTTATTATAATGTAATATAGACACATTATCAATAATGTTTGTTAGAGTTTTAATAATATTCCTGAATGATCTGTTGTTGTGAACAGTCCTCAGTATTGAAGACACTTAATCAATAAACAAATTCAGTCGGTGTCAAAGCACTGAGTCAATTTAGACGTAGCATCATTTTGAAGGTGAACACTTTTACAATGCAGACAATAACAAAAGGCTGATTGTCGATGCTTTGAGACGGTAAAAAAGACATTCAAATATTTGGCAACTTCTATGATTTTTAGTGTGTACACCATTGATGATAAGACACATAAGTTGAAACCCTTACCGTTTCTCTATGGAAATGGAAATTATTCAACAGTTTGTAAAAGAAGATGTTTGGGTTTTTATATCGAAGTAGTAGTAAAAGATAGAGAATAATTTAAGTATAAAACTTGGGCACTACGGTAGAGTATAACTCCATTATGGATAAGATTTTATTTTGATAAATCACACAGTGTCATACAGTAGTGTTAACTGATGACGTTTCGAGCACAATTTATTACTCATAATCATATCAAGTTACTCACACAACTTTTTTCCTTCATTTATATATATATATGTATGGAATTGACTAGATATGGGATAATATACATTCAGAAATAATATGAGTGTTATTGATCAATTACAATCAGATGGGAAATAAGACGAGTGTTTTTATAGTCAAAATAAGTATCTTGTTAGAATGTTATGATGTGCTTGAATTGAAATAGAATTTTGAGATTATTTATTATCCTCTTCTGATTTGACTGGCGGTAATAATATCTTCCATATTTCTGGTATTTGCATTGAGTCATTTCTGTTGCATGTGCACAGAGGTAATTTAGTCGATATGCATATATTAGAAATACAAAAGTTATTTCAAAATAGCATTATTTATAGCATTAAATATATCATTTTAAAAGCCCTAATCAGCCTTATAAAAATAACATCAAGACATACTGTTACTACAGAATAAGCTTTACAATCAGAATCATTCTTCCGTCGTGTGGAAGAGTGTTTGGCGTTTCCTCGAAATCAGTGTCCACATGTAGATATAGCTCGTCCCCTATAGTAGACTTAATAAAAGTGGAGATAATCGCCAGAACCACATACACACAAATGTTTTCAATACAAGCCATTCAGTATACCTTTGGCTGTGTGAACGCTTAGATGCCATTAATTTCCTTTTCCCATAAAACCAAATCTGTTGGCACAAAATTTATGAAATCAAAATTACTTGTTCAAAAAGTGCTTCCTAAAACTAACCGGTCTTTATTAGCCTTTCTACAACTTAAAAATGGTTTGACTTTTTGTAAAATCCTTTTGTTTATTAATGTTAATTGTAATTGAGTCCACGTTTTTGTCACAATCACGTGTTAACTGACTAAGAAATTTTAGAAAAAACAAAAGAAATTGAGCAAAGAATATCCCTTTCGATAATTTCCTCTTCTGGTTCTACAATAGTATGTATGTTTGTATACAGAGAATATTCTAGAATAGTCATCATTAGCAGTATTGGTGTTTTTAAATACTATCGAGTCGTTATGTAAGATCAATGAAATTACAGATGTATAAATTATAATAAGCATAAAAATGTAACAGTGAATAAAATTAAGAACATTCCCACAAATTTACGATCATTAGAACCTTGATAGCCAAGGTAAGGACAATGTCTGAACCAGCTTCTTCTGGATACATAAGTTAGGTTTCTTAATGTGTATCCCGACGGCCTCAACAGTATGTAGTAGACGAACTCTTAAGGTGAAGTTAAGACTAGCTGGTATGCGGTAGATGACTTTGAAAGCCTCGTTAACATCAATCTTGTGTTCTTCATCCGCAAGATGAGATGGAATAACGCTATGAACTTAGCCACACAGGATGATGTTCGGAAATCCAACGAGAAACATGCCTAATTGTACGGCCTATGTAACTGGCTCCACAGGAGCAGTTAAATTGGTAGATAAACATAGATGCACATCTTGCTTAACAACTCGATAGTATTTTAAAACACCAATATTGTTAATTACGACTATTCTAGGTATACAAACATATATACTATTGTAGAACCAGAAGAGAAAATTATCGAAGAGGATATTCTTTGTTTTTTCTACATGTCTGAATGAATATTTTCGCTATAAGGAATTTTAACACAACTGATTGTTTATTATATATATATATATATATATATATATAATATATATATATATATGATGTCAGTTAGATAACCATTGAAAACCAGGGAGTACTCCCCGGTTATAATGGTTCTCTCTAGACTTGAAACAAATCGAATCCTTACAAACAAACTCTTCGAAATTTTATTAGCTGATTATCGGTATTCATTTTCTTGGACCGCTATCTTTCAGCTTAGAAGTCATTTAATTTCACTGGGTGAAGTATGCATTTATAATCACTTGTTTTGTATCCTGACGTTCACTGGACAGGGATAGACACTAATATTTATGAAGCAGTCAGATTTGGAGGCTTACTTTCAAATTAGAGCAACTATCGACCAGTCCTAAATAAAGTCAAACATGTTCCATACACTATTAAGTGCTTCTTGCAAACAATTAACACTATATTTGTTTTTGCAGCCCTTCAATAAAGCTTAATGCAGTCACGTATAACGTATTCGCACAACACATTTCGAACATTCGGAACGCGCGCGCACACACACTTGCGGTGGCACTATATATTGTAAATTAGTAAATTTAGAATTCCTGGGCCATCGCATTGTGTCCCAGTGTCGCAATGATATACGCAATGGAATTTGATACTGACGTTTAAATTTTGTAAGGGTTTACAGGAAAAGATGGTTTCATTTTCTCTTGATTCTACAGTACTTTCTGTAGAGAGCCACTTGAAGTTTTGTTTAGGGATCAAATTTGTGGAATCACCCTCAAGCAGTAAAATTACGTAAACGTCCTCATGTCAGTCTGATTAAACTGTTATAGCCTTTATCTTGAAACATCCACAGAAGTGATTACAATTTCAGAAGAAAGTTTTTATTGAATAGTATGTCAGTGTGGTTTTGCATTTCCTCTCTCATGATATCCTCAATACGCATGTGTTGAATAAGTTTGAATAAACTAACGCTTTTGTATGCTGGAGTGGATATAAACTACGGCAATTTATATACTATCGCGTTTCACATGAACTTCCTGAAGACAAGTTGTCTTATTAACCCAACATATCGGTGAGTTATGAGTACATCTAAAATCTGCAAACAGTCATTAATTTCTTTCCATTTGTTAACGATACACCATTTTATGTTATGTAAATCCGAATTTCTCTAGCGTTCGTCGACCTCTCAAACATAACTAAATCCAAGTCAGTTTGATTGCATCTTTTGTCTGGATGATGAAGTGAAATTCTCTCATACTGGAGTGTGCCTGTATTTCAAACAGGTGAACTGTCAATTAGCTTTTTATCTATGCTCAGATTGAATGAAGCACAAACTAGGCAGAATTAAATTAAAATTGACTCTTATGCAGTGGAGTGATGTTAAACGTCTGACTGAAAGTTAATTTAAGTAATTAGTGCCTATTCACCACTTACGAAAATAAAATACAATACTCCTGTTTTTCTGCTAACACAACTTGTCTTTCGACTGTTTTTTATTTATTTATGTCTCTAAAATATTCATAGTTTGAAACGTTCTACTCATTCGTTTTATCCGTCAGTAATGTTCAACAGGTACGAATTTGGATAGTGACAGAAGTTAAGCTAAGACCTTGGTGTTACAAATGAAGTAAAAATGATACTGATTTGATTCTATGCTGTTGTAAATATCCTAAATGGACATGTCCCACAGGTACTAATCTACGATGACAATACCACAAGTGATTGTAAAGCTAACGATACAATGTAACATTGATCAGTTGTCCGTACTAAGTACTAAGATAAGCGTACGCTTATTCTACTATATTTCGTATTTCCATTCACACTTTACAATTCGCAATAGACTTTAACTGATTAACGCCAACATACACTATAGTATTATCACTGACACAACATTGGAAATCAAACTATCGCGAAAAGTGAAAGAAAAATCATACCGGTTGACAGAATACACTTATTTATTTATTTATGTATTAAGAAGCAGTATAACAACGCATTACCACTATAAGTCAACAAATTCCTGAATTTAAAATGTAACAACCTGAGTTGTCGAATAAATTTTTAAAAGAATGGTAACAGCAATAACAAAGAAAGATGAAGAGAGATTGGAGGATTTCGAATAACCACTATGCTAATTTTGTGGTACAGCAGCATACTGAAATTGCTCAGGTGATGAAATGTAATCAGCGACGTCCAAAGCGAGAATGCAACTTTCACGAACGACAGGCTCCTTATCTTTAGTGAATTCCTCTAATACATTACGTGCCTGACTTTCAAATTCTTTAGGTACATCACTTTTTACATTACTTGACAAATATTTCCCTTCCAATTCACCGAGAATTGAACCAAGAGCTTCAGCAGCCTCGTGTCTAACCATAGGATGTTCATCAGTTGCACGAACACAGGCAGAAAGTGGAGGAACAGTGCTGGCAACTGTTAACTGTCCAAGCACGAAAGCAACTTCGTGACGTAACAGTGCACTGTTTGGTGCTTTCAAACCTTCGGCTAGAAAGTTAGCTGCTTTTTCGGGTGATGTTTTGTCTAAAATCGCCTTTAAAACACGGTCTCGTAGAGTGAACATAGCACGGTAACGCGTGAACAATGTCTGAGTTGGATCCATCAATAAATCACGCAACTGTTCATCAGTATAGCTGTGATCACAACTGAAACTATGCGCAGGATCAACTGTATTCGGAAAGAACTGTAATGCCAAGTCATCGGTGGGAGGGTTGGATTCATTTTGTTGTTTTTCTTTTCTACTTTTGATCCATTCAATGCGGCACAGACCGACTTGACACGTTTCAGCTAACTGAAATACAAAAACAACTGATGAGATAGCAAAGTTGGCTGACCAAAACAAACGTATTTTACACAATTTCAAAACTAACTTACAGATAAAAACAGCATGAGCAACAGAACCTAGGTGAGGTGGGACATTTTTCCGACGGATGCCTACCAAACTTCCAGTAGATCAACAGATGCATGACATTCGTTTCTATGGTCGAATACACATCTTTTACCAAAGAATGCTTAAATGAGTCAAGAATCAGCGAATAAACCAGAGAATAATAAAAGTAAAAAACTGTACTATAGAGACCAAGTACAACGAAACCCTTAGAACCGGTTCAAATGACTGTTGTTATAAAATAAGATAAATTATTGAATACTTGTCTGAAGAATGATTAAGAGTCAGTGTATCCCTATTATACGAAAAGTGAAAGAAGCGGTGAGTATGTTTTACCTTAGGCTATGGCACTAAAAATATTTACTACAGTGTTTATCATTCACGGGTTTACAATTGACCGTGAAAATGATGATTCATGTTTCCCACTGCGACACCGTACTCGCAGATACTCTCTACTAATGATAACTACGTATACATCTAAAAACAGAGATTTCATTTAAAGGTTGTAAAACCAAGCATTATAACATATATATGATCTGGCTATTCTGCATAAAATCACTCCATCGTCAATAGTCTCCACCTAGTGCTTATTATAATCCCCAGGAACCAAATACACTACTCAAAATCCCCATATACGGCTCAAACAAACAGTCAATTACTGTATGGATTGATACCTCCCCACACTTTGTCAACCGTATCCTGTTAGCTAACGTTGCGTCATAAGGGAGCCAACAACTCGGAATGCATGCGTAAAACGTGTCTCACCCACCTCAATCGATACAGTTCCCAACACTTAACACTATGAAACATATTATGCTACGTAAGGAGACAGGAAACAGAACGCAAAGATGGAGATTATTAGGACTTAGTAAGAATAACAAAACTTATGAGGAAAACATGCACAGAAATAATGTAACTAAAAGAAACAGTAGTAGTGCAGTCATACAATCTGGGAACCTCTGGAATAACAGTGGCATTGAAACCCACAAACTTACTGGGAAATAAATAACGCCGGTTAAAGAAACTAGTGGAGTCCGTTGAACAAAGTAATTCAGTCTATCTAATAACATGCAGTGATTGAGATGTCAAATACATCGGTCAGAGTAATAGACCAGGACGAATTACATTACACCTGGCTTAGTCTAGACTACTACACCTTGAAACCATACGAAATGAAAAAAGCTCAACCGCATAGCAATACAAGTGGCTACATTCGAAAATAAAACTGCGTCTGGTACGGTGGCAGTCCCAAACCAGAATGAACCAGCATTAAATGAGAACCTAAAATGTGATGACCAATTAGTCAAGTCAATGAGAAAACGCAGAACCCAAGACACTCGTAATAATTCCATACAAAATAAAAAGCTCCGAAACAGAGAAGACAAACGGACCACAAAATGTTAATCATACAAATCCAATAGAGAATCAATATGCAATCACATACTACTATTATGTCCAAATTTTAACCACAACATCAACCATAAAACGACAGCAGTATCTACATTAAATCATCTATTAGATATATCACAGTGAATCAGCATTACTTACTACATGACGTCTCGAACACAGTTGATTGTTCACATTCATATCACAGTAGTATCTACACTGATAACTTCAAACTCATGTCCCGGTCACCGCAGTGGATTCACACGATTCACAAACAACTTCACTCACTGACGACTTGCATTATTCACTTAGTGACCTATAACCATTCACCGCTCTCACACACCACACCACACCACAAACACACACACACACACTCAACAACCAGGTCTACGAAACAATCGGGGGGAAAAATCCGCCAACCTCAACATTCACTCTCAAAATATACGAAGTTAAAGTTTAATTACGTCAGTGGCATCGTTACGAATAATGCTTTACTCTTTACAAGCTCACCTTCCACAAAAAATACGTCATGCTCACCAACCGACAACAACCAACTCACAGTATTCAATCAATTCAATCTAAACACTTCCCTAATTAACTTGACAGCAACAACAACAACAACAACAACAAGACCAACAATTTACATCGCCTTCTCAGTATGCCAATATTCCACTTCAGCTACGTCTATTCAGAACTACTGCCTTGATAAATAAGAAGTCTGAATAAAGTTCTACAAACTAATATAGCTGTCGACAAACATTACGTTTTACTTCAGTCTATGCAGTCACACAACAATGTTACAGACTACGCCATTCACGGTAATTCTACTCTAACCCATTCGGTAACATCCACCTTTTACTACTGACTCTTCACAAGAGGAAAAAGACTTAAAAGAACAACACTTTTATTAATAATTAAAAAAATAAATTAATCTGACGTGGAATAGACCACTTCAACCAATGAGTTTTTTCTTTTTCATGTCAAGTATCTCATTTGGAGCGAGAGTCAAACGACGCTTAATAACAGCTTTCTCGCCCGACTGTGCTTTGTTTTTGTTTTTAAGAGGCATCAACGTTGCTTTCTGATCCACCTCTATTTGACGATCATTGGAATCATTGTCGCTGGTGTCGAAGTTCTTCCGACAAGTCCATACGGTAAGGCGACGGGTAAACCGCTTGGTTTGTGATCGCGTCATATATCTTTTTGGTTCCACCGACTCGTCGCTTGGTTTTTTTTCCCCATCACCTTCGACCGAATCCATTTGAATGCAGATTTCAGTATTTGTCATACGACGTTTGAATATTCAAACAATACAAGTGACGAAAACTAAAAGGTTTACTGGTGAGATGACTAATTTATACATGATTTGATATTATGACGTAATCGGGTAAGAAGAACCAATAGAAGAATTACAATAGTAAGTACCAATCATGTAAAAGTAGATACCAAATAAGAAATTAAATAGACAAATCTTGTTGGCTGAATTGATTTCATGCACGTGACACGCACATACATGCATACATTCATACAAACCCATGTACATTCATATCCTTAGACGAAATTCACATCTCAAGGTTTGAAAAAAATTCGACATCTGAGTATATGATGTTAAGTTCTATACAAAAAGTTTCGCTTAGCCTGCTTTTCTAAAAGGCAAACATTTGATAGAACTTATACTTTATCATAACTAGCCTCACACCCATCAAATCAACATAGTTAGTAGTTACCGAACTCTTGTACATGTGGAAATATAGACTTTAACATCCTAGTAGTTGTAGTATATTCATCTTTATGGATGTATTACTATCCCTTCCACGACTTCTCCAATAGTAGTGTGATTACGTTCGCCAAAGTCTCCAAGTCTGTTTTTCGTGCATCCAAGGAGATTCTATGTGCTCCGACTATCTTTCCGGCCAGTAGTGACTTCATGGCATTCAAGACTGCTGATTTTGTCCAAAGGTAGTTGTTTAATGGCAGTTCTGTGATCGCTAGTGCTGTTTTTGGACAAATTGCATTTAGTGGTCGATTCAACAGCCTCTCCAAGTAACCAGCAGACCGTCTCGTCCAATACACCTCCTCAGAAATTAAGATACCTTCTTTATCTTTCACAGGTTTCATCTGTCTTCATATCTTCCCGGATAGCGACCTGATTATTTGATAACATCTTTTCAGGTATCTTTCAACTGTAGTTTGTTCTACTTCATTTGGCGGTGCGTCTTTTGTCATTCCTATGGCTCCTCTTTCCTCCTCAGCTTAGTGAGTCCGAGCTTTTACTCAGGCTATACGGGCTTCTTTCCACATGGATCTCAGAGAAACTCAGTGTTCTTCTTAAGTGACTTCATCTCTGAAATTTTCCTTGATGACTTCAGTAAACGTATCCGTCGTAGCTTCGTCCTATAGTCTGTGAGTGTAGAACTAGAATTGCGATCCGACTTGTCCGGTTTCCCTGAAAATTTTCAACTCCATCTTGAATCTTCCTTGTGTTATATAGTAATCTGGGCTGATCTGGCTGACTGACTCACTGAGGAATGGAATGCAAGTACATGCAGCTGGCGGGCCAGTCCCAAATAGGATTAGATGAGCATCCTGGCTTCCACTGCTAGTCACCATCCACCAATCCTGATACATCGTCGAAGTGTTCGTATTACTAAGTAGTGGCAGATATGTCTGTCAACAGAGGTCGAACATCTGGGTCCAATCAAACGACGGGGAAATCAAAATTGAATTATAAGCATTTATTAATGTCTCTAATCGATATGAGCTCATGATGACATCTTGTAATCAATCAATCAATCAAATCCCTACAAACCAATACTTGAAAATTTATTAATGTCATTGTCAACTGCATCTGTGAACAAAATAAACAAGTAGATAAGATACCTGAACCCTCTTAAAGTAAACAAATACGGCCTAATACCTTAAATGGAATGATCTTAAAAAAGTGAACACAAAGCTTATATTTAGTTTATTTCTAGTTGAACAATACCATAAGGAGTTGGACTCATGATTAACTCATGAGGAACAAGATATCTTAGAGATGCTACAAGCGTGTGATTAAAAGGAATGCTACCCAGCTAGCAGGAGGCTGCATTGAAATGCATGCAATGGAATACCAATATATATATATATATATATATATATATACATAAAATAAACACTGAACACGAAAATGTGATGAATAGACAATATATACCAACAATAGCATACCTCAGTTATGTTTGAATTAGCGAATTCCTTCAAGGCTTTTTCAACTTCAACGATATCCGCACCATCAAATCCGGTTAACGCAGCTAGTGCTTCAGCGGCTTCATGTCGAATAAGAGTAACATGCTTTTCATTACGAATGGCTTGCAAAAGGTAAGGGATAGCTTTTACATCTCCCCGTTGACCGAGACAATAAGCAGCTTCATGTTGTAATAAATCATTGGTAACCGGTGATGGCCTTACATAGTTACATACAAAATCAGCTAATAATTCCAATGCTAATGGTTCACTTGCATGACGTAATCCCCAAAGGGCACGAGAACGATCAACTAATTTAGCTGATGGATTTAGTAAACATTTTCCCCACTCACGAAGTTCCGTTTCGGGCACTGGTTTAGGGACCATTTTCTTCAGTTTGTAAAACATTTGAAATGGAAAAGATGAAAGAAGGTAACAAAAATAAACTTCAAGATAAATTTGAAGGTGTGTTATGAGGGAAAAGATTCAGAACAAATATTTTACCTTAAAGTTCAATTGCCAAAGGATGGAGTATTTCCCCATTTTGCAATGGACATAAACTTTGGATCCCTGTGGAATAAAGTTCAAAATGTTAGAACGGACAAGCTTATTTGTTATCCATGATGCAGTGATTTATGCATAGATTAACATGATTTTACCTCATTACACAGTTTTGACTCGTTTCATCAAGGCCTAATTTTCAGAGGGATTTCGATATCATGCAACCAGTCAAATGTGCTTGTTTATTTATTTATGGCTTAAATTCTCGAGGTTTTGTAAATATGATACACCATGCATTTTGTCGTTCCAGTTGTCGTTTTCCCCAGTCTGACTTTTGTGTCTATCTCAGTGTGAGAGAAAATATTTTAATTGATCAGTTGGTTAGATTGTCGCGTTCCGAAGGTGCATTCTAGTAGAGTTAGACGAAGCCACAGCCCAGTAACACTCCATCATAACAATGTCTTATAAAAAATCTTTTAAGATCCACATTGTCTACGTTTTACATATCTTCTACAGATATGTTTAAAAGTCGATGAAAAGTGCACATCTGAGATACAATTTTGTAAACTGGCTCATTTTTTAATATATATTTTTTGAATGCGTTAATGCTGTTGTGTATCTTATCGTATGCATGTATTGAAACATTGAAAACAAGTAGTCCTCAAATCAGTGAAAAGTCGCTGAACCCGTCTACGAATTACTCTTTTCAGTGATTTCAGTCGTTTATTTTTCGTCACATAGTAAATATGCCTTTAACTGGTGAAAAAAATGTTTGCTTTTTGGTTACAGGATTTCATCATGAGCTGACATTGGCCTAATGTTCTACGAGCTCGCCTTATAACCAGAAGGTCCTGGATTCGAACCCCGGTGGTTGCGTACTGCTGAAGAGTCCCAGGCTAAAATGAAACAGCTGTCCAGTACTTCCAGGTTTTTCAATGGCTCCCTTACCAATGTTAGTTCATGATGAAATTCTGTAACCAATCAACCAAATCACTACAAACCAATACTTGAATGTTTGCTTTTTGTCAGCTGAACAAGTCTACTCTGCTGTTTATTATAAACTACTTCCTTTATTCAACTTTATACTACTGGATACTTAATATTTGTAAATTGTTTTCTCTTTCTGCTTGTTTGCTTACTTATTATTTTCTCTAGCCCTTATAAATCACTCGGAAGCACAATTAAGTATTATAAATTCGAAAAATAAAAACACCTACTGTCATTATTCGTTAGTACTGGTGCAGTTCAGATGCCAATATAATTTACAACGCAGGTTAATTGTTTTGTAATATACGCATAATATTCACAAATCACCCTGCTCGACCAACACCGTCGGTGCTTTTACACAATGTAACGGTTCTGTTCATCGACAATTACTCGACTCTTAGTTTTTAAGATGGTTTTCTTTGGAAACCCTCCTGGAATTTTATACATTGATTATTAATAACTGTTCGGATGACTGCTATTTAAAATTATGACAATGATTTAAGATTTCTCTGATAACGAGTGAACATGTTTATCATGCTAGAAATGTCAATCTTGAAAATTCAATTTAGTATTATAAATACAGAAATATTAATTCAACCCAGCGAACACTGTTTGGTTCTTGTTGGCGGATAGTGGAATACATCTATTGTATGAAAACAAAGACTGGTATTGTCTAGGGGTCGTTGTTGCAGGTTACAACTGAGTTACACTGGGTTGTGGCTTCGTCTAACTCTACTAGAATGCACCTCCGGAACGCGACAATCTAACCAACTGATCAATTAAAATATTCTCTCTCACACTGAGATAGACACAAAAGTCAGACTGGGGAAAACGACAACTGGAACGACAAAATGCATGGTGTATCATATTTACAAAACCTCGAGAATTTAAGCCATAAATAAATAAACAAGCACATTTGACTGGTTGCATGATATCGAAATCCCTCTGAAAATTAGGCCTTGATGAAACGAGTCAAAACTGTGTAATGAGGTAAAATCATGTTAATCTATGCATAAATCACTGCATCATGGATAACAAATAAGCTTGTCTGTCGTTACAGACATACTTGAAATCACTACACAAGTCAATCATGAATGTGCCTAACACATTCACAAAGATAATTATTATCTATCTAAGATTGTTTGCTGTGAATCCGGATCGGAATTTATCATTCAAAAAAGAACTCGACACCTGTGTAAACTTGTCTCAGGAACCCTGAATGAGAAAATACCCGATTTCAACCTAGTTACAGTAGTAAAGTAATGGACGTGAACCACAGCTGAGTGAGGTAGAGTAAGCATGTACACAACTTAAGGCATATTGAACAACAATATACAGTGTGATCCCGTTGTGAATAAAGGAAACAAAACTGTTGAAAGTTTTGAGGAGTCATAGTTAAGGGGTGATTTTAAATGGCAAGTATTCTGAGTAACTATTCAAATATTATCTTGTAAATATTTATATTACATTGGATACTGGTTTTAAAAAATAAGAATCTTTCCATTATTTATCACTAGGAAAGTATGTATGCACTGTTTCCAAATTAACGTATTACAGTTACACCTTATGACTATTTACAAAATTAACAAAAATTATTAACTCGATCAGAATTTAAAAAATACAGGATGAAACCTCAAGAAACAATGGTCATTTAGCTCTAAAGACAATAATGTAACTATATGAAAGTTAAGATGTTTAGTCATAAGTCTAGAGAGACAGCAAATATCTGAATTGAAATAACTAGCAATTAACTGAAATCGACAGTTTATTGTTGAGGAAGAAAACCACTATACTTCATGTAGCACGTATGATTCTGTGATTAATAGTACGGGTTGCTTCTCAAGATTCGGTCGGTCGGTCGGTCGGTTTTCGACATCGAACTTTGCACATATGTGCGGCAATTCAAGTCGCCACACTTCATGTAGCACACAAAGCAAGAGAAGAAATGCATATTACAGACAGTAAACAGAGGTGTGAGACAAAGGTATAGTAATAACGAAGAACAAAACAGTTTCATTGGAAATCATAATTCACAAGGAGTGGATGCATTTGCGCCACTGAGAACGATTTTGAAACCAAGTCACCAATTGTTTCCAACCATTGGTTTTTACCGTCCCGAGGACCCCAACCAGGAAGTCTACACCTTCCTATGTGGCTTAGACTAACTGTTGTAGATTTCATTGACTGGTGCCATGTTTTCGTTTGACCGCCGGTAGCTCTTTTCCAATCTGGCCCTATATCAGCTAACATTGCCCGTCGAGGAAGGCGATGACTAAGCATATGTAGCACATGTCCTAACCATCTCAGTCGATGTAATTTCACAGTCTCGTCGATTGATTTCCCCGCCTTACCTAGCACTCGACGCCTAACCTCAATATTGCTCACCTTATCATACCACTTCACGCGGGAGATAGAACGCAGACACCTATGATCAAAGACAGCTAATCTTTTCATGTCTTCTCGAGATTACGGATCATGTTACTTTGTCTGAACTTTTTCACTGTTTGTGGAGTTACACATTTTAGGTGTATCACTGAATAAACAGATCAGTTAACATTCCACCATTTCTATGCACGATAACAAATCTAAGGTAGCGCATTAGACTAGAAGAGATTTTTTCAACTTATTAAGCAGATGGACAGTAAACATTTGGTCAACACGTATTATTAATTTATAAAATGTCAGCTAATGACATCCTTATATGCAATAGTTTAGAAAAATAATTAACGCTAGTGTTTACTTTCAGTTAAATAAAATTGGCATTGAACTTTTCAACTTGTTTACCATAAAATATCATTGAATCAATGGCACAGTTTACAAAAAAAAGTATTTTAAATCATGGGACGATAAGTAAATTTCGTAGAAATTATTCTAGAAGATAAAAGTACCAGTTAATTCGCGCGCGTATATCAACAAACAGACAGACACACACACACACGCACGAACACATTACTACAGTCATACACAGCGAAATTGTACACAAAAATACACACAGTAGGCAATTACGAGAACGAGAGATATTGACCAAATATTATATTTAAATAAGATTTTGTTGTACAACTACAATTCTTATTGTATATTCTTGTAAATATATAATTTGTGTGTAATGAAGGACTGTTGAATGTTTCAGTAATAGTGAAATGGAATCAAATGCAAATGAATATACTGATACGTATATTATATATTGGTCCACAGTTATCACCTACATTATGCATATGTTACACTATCTGCCAGAGATGTTCCAACTTCTCAGCTTTTACAACATTTGATATGAAACAAAAATGATGAGATATCCATCCATAAGATTGAATGGAAAAACAAAGAATAAACACAGTTTCTTCATAACTGTCAAATGTCACAGCGAACCCATATACATATTGAATTGTCAATTAAATAGACAAAAAGAGAAATACAACGTTAGAATAAAAAAAAAGACACTTTGGAAAGAAACAAACAAACAAAAAAAGAAATACAATTTTGGTTTAGTTGTGCAAAAGAATCTGTGACAAAGAAAATCCGAATATTAAATGCATTTTTCTAGAGGTAAGTGTGACCACATTAAGCAGTTAAAAAAAGCCAAATATTGCACTTGATTGAGAATATATATATATATATAGTGTTATTACAAATAATAAATGTGAATTTAGTAGTAAAGAGAATGAAAGAGTGGAAAGAATATAAATCTATAGGATCTCTTTTACAACTAAGATGTATACACTTAGAAAATATGTTTTAAAAGTATAGCATTGTACTATTGCACTAAAACACGCTTGCACTGTTCAAAGGATTATACAAATGTGTTTAATATTTATTGCTGGACGTAGCCCTATCCTAAGATTAATCGTAGTAATAACAACAACAATAATGGTGGTAGTAGAGAGGTATTTTTCACAGAACATAAGGTGAAAGTATTATTTTTCGAAAAGAGAACAAAAGAATCCATGCTTTGCTTCCTTTGATACATGGAAAAAAACACAACCAACTACTCCACCAAACAAACAGGACAAATGTGTGTACACTGTTGACCTAAATTTGATTTTAAAAAAAAAACAGAATTTCTAATCAGGGTATTTCAAAAATCATTTTTGCATCTAAACAATGCTTCGTTTTCTGATGAATGGAAGAAACTGATCTACTTTTATGTGGAAGAAACCGATAGGTTTTATGTAGGTGATCCCCATATATCAGAGGTAAAACTACACAAGGTAATACAAGAAACAGAGAATTACGGTTTAATCATCATCAACATCACAAGCATGATTGCAATTGCAATTTTATGGCATCTGGCAGTGTCAGAAGAACAAATAATATTAGTATAATATATTGTTAGTGGTGATAACGACTACTAGTAGTATTATTAGAAGGTAATTAAAACTAATTTGTGCACAAAATAAGAAATAAAATAATTAGACAGCGAAAGGAATTACGTAAATTACCAAATTGAATAAATAAATAATTTTCATCACTGAAACTCTATTCACCTTCAAAAAAAAAAACTAGTAGCTCTGGATACATTCACTCAAAGAATCACGTTGTGATTCACGCGTGTTTATTAGAACAATAAAAAAAGAATATGAATAATCAAAGTAATTAACATAATTAACAATGTAATCATTCAACTGCTTCCAAATTATTTATATTTCCTATTGATGAGGCAGTCGACGGTGTTATGTATTCATCGATCAGTGTATCTCCTTTCCCTCATCACTACCGGTAAAATGACAGAAACAAATATTTCCATCACTTTCAGAAGAAGCATAACTGCAAGATATTCGGACAAGTAGGAATTTGAGCAAAGAAAAGACAGTTACTAAAGGATATATATATATATTCAACTTGGAAATGGTCGGTGTTTAGCCAATTTTGATTCTAGCTGTTGTAGGATAGTAGTAACAGATTGAGATATACGAATGTCCAAATTTTCAATTTGCCTGCGCAAATACAAAAACAAGCAATGAATAAATAAGGAAACAGAATTGAAATGACAAATGGATAATATATCTATATATATTTTTATCGAGAACCGTACAAATCCAATAAAGAATCAATATGCAATCACATACTACTATTATGTCCAAATTTTAACCACATCATCAACCATAAAAAGACAGCAGTATCTACATTAAATCATCTATTAGATAGATCACAGTGAATCAGCATTACTTACTACATGACGTCTCGAACACAGTTGATTGTTCACATTCATATCACAGTAGTATCTACACTGATAACTTCAAACTCATGTCCCGGTCGCCGCAGTGGATTCACACGATTCACAAACAACTTCACTCACTGACGACTTGCATTATTCACTTAGTGACCTATAACCATTCACCGCTCTCACACACCACACCACACCACAAACACACACACACACACACACTCAACAACCAGGTCTACGAAACGATCTGGGGGAAAAATCCGCCAACCTCAACATTCACTCTCAAAATATACGAAGTTAAAGTTTAATTACGTCAGTGGCATCGTTACGAATAATGCTTTACTCTTTACAAGCTCACCTTCCACAAAACATACGTCATGCTCACCAACCGACAACAACCAACTCACAGTATTCAATCAATTCAATCTAAACACTTCCCTAATTAACTTGACAGCAACAACAACAACAACAAGACCAACAATTTACATCGCCTTCTCAGTATGCCAATATTCCACTTCAGCTACGTCTATTCAGAACTACTGCCTTGATAAATAAGAAGTCTGGATAAAGTTCTACAAACTAATATAGCTGTCGACAAACATTACGTTTTGCTTCAGTCTATGCAGTCACACAACAATTTTACAGACTACGCCATTCACGGTAATTCTACTCTAACCCATTCGGTAACATCCACCTTTTACTACTAACTCTTCACAAGAGGAAAAAGACTTAAAAGAACAACACTTTTATTAATAATTAAAAAAATAAATTAATCTGACGTGGAATAGACCACTTCAACCAATGAGTTTTTTCTTTTTCATGTCAAGTATCTCATTTGGAGCGAGAGTCAAACGACGCTTAATAACAGCTTTCTCGCCCGACTGTGCTTTGTTTTTGTTTTTAAGAGGCATCAACGTTGCTTTCTGATCCACCTCTATTTGACGATCATTGGAATCATTGTCGCTGGTGTCGAAGTTCTTCCGACAAGTCCATACGGTAAGGCGACGTGTAAGCCGCTTGGTTTGTGATCGCGTCATATATCTTTTTGGTTCCACCGACTCGTCGCTTGGTTTTTTTTCCCCATCACCTTCGACCGAATCCATTTGAATGCAGATTTCAGTATTTGTCATACGACGTTTGAATATTCAAACAATACAAGTGACGAAAACTAAAAGGTTTACTGGTGAGATGACTAATTTATACATGATTTGATATTATGACGTAATCGGGTAAGAAGAACCAATAGAAGAATTCCAATAGTAAGTACCAATCATGTCAAAGTAGATACCAAATAAGAAATTAAATAGACAAATCTCGTTGGCTGAATTGATTTCATGCACGTGACACGCACATACATGCATACATTCATACAAACCCATGTACATTCATATCCTTAGACGAAATTCACATCTCAAGGTTTGAAAAAAATTCGACATCTGAGTATATGATGTTAAGTTCTATACAAAAAGTTTCGCTTAGCCTGCTTTTCTAAAAGGCAAACATTTGATAGAACTTATACTTTATCATAACTAGCCTCACACCCATCAAATCAACATAGTTAGTAGTTACCGAACTCTTGTACATGTGGAAATATAGACTTTAACATCCTAGTAGTTGTAGTATATTCATCTTTATGGATGTATTACTATCCCTTCCACGACTTCTCCAATAGTAGTGTGATTACGTTCGCCAAAGTCTCCAAGTCTGTTTTTCGTGCATCCAGGGAGATTCTATGTGCTCCGACTATCTTTCCGGCCAGTAGTGACTTCATGGCATTCAAGACTGCTGATTTTGTCCAAAGGTAGTTGTTCAATGGCAGTTCTGTGATGGCTAGTGCTGTTTTTGGACAAATTGCATTTAGTGGTCGATTCAACAGCCTCTTCAAGTAACCAGCAGACCCCGTCTCGTCCAATACACCTCCTCAGAAATTAAGATACCTTCTTTATCTTTCACAGGTTTCATCTGTCTTGATATCTTCCCGGATAGCGACCTGATTATTTGATAACATCTTTTCAGGTATCTTTCAACTGTAGTTTGTTCTACTTCATTTGGCGATGCGTCTTTTGTCATTCCTATGGCTCCTCTTTTCTCCTCAGCTTAGTGAGTCCGAGTTTTTACTCAGGCTATACGGGCTTCTTTCCACATGGATCTCAGAGAAACTCAGTGTTCTTCTTAAGTGACTTCATCTCTGAAATTTTCCTTGATGACTTCAGTAAACGTATCCGTCGTAGCTTCGTCCTATAGTCTGTGAGTGTGGAACTAGAATTGCAATCCGACTTGTCCGGTTTCCCTGAAAATTGTCAACTCCATCTTGAATCTTTCTTGTGTTATATAGTGATCTGGGCGTCTACTGAGGATGTTGTTCAACAGGCTGTCTCGACTTTCAAGCAATCAGCGTTTTTGGTGTGTTTATCTGGTGAAACTTGTGGCATCTAGTATATCTTCGGTTTTATGTTCGCTGTTTCCAATAACCAAAGATATAAAGGGACGAAAGTCTTATAAGTGTTCTCCGTTTTGGTTGATTTCACCTCATACCTTTCGATGAACCTACCATGGTTTCTCTGTTGTTTGGTCGCAGGTTCTCTGGCATTCATATCACGCTTTGGGAAATTTGTAGCCAAGCGGTTAGGGTCATGTTGATTACTGCTATTAGTTGGTTGGCAGTAAACTTCAGTTGTCTGTGGTATTTGTCCGTGTGTCGTTATGTAACTGGAACTTTCCTTTCTTTTTTAGTTGAATTTTGATGTCATGATCGGAGAGATTGATTCTGACTGCATGGAAGCTTTCGATGCTGTTAGTGACATCTGAAGGTCCCTACCGTAGTGTGCTTGTAGTTATCTGGGTGACAGGAGTAGACAGTTGAAGTTAACCTAAATCATCATCTCAGCAAATTCAAATTAGTCTCCAAGATAATAGTTAAGGCAGTGGAATGGACGATTTGAGCTAACAATATTTAATGAAACTGGGTTTATTGAAAATAGATTCCGATATTTCGTTTGAACTAACTAAAAGCAATTCACAGAAAGACTAAAAATTAAACTAAAAGCAAATATTTAGTAATAGGCCTTCGTTGAACTATTAACTCGGTGTTTTTGTAGGAAGATTGAACTGGCTAGTTACTATTCAGATACAAATTCACTACCTTTAATTTATTAACACTACAAGGTACCGATTGGAACTCCAGATGACAACAACAAAGTACTTTGTAATTCGAACTCCAGGATTTAATCTCAATGTGATTACTAGCTGAAAGAAAGCCAAGCTTGATACTGAAATAAGTAAGATGTTTCATTTTATTTCAGATAAACTGGGGTTCAAGAAAAAAGCCAATTGCTGGCTACATTTTTTAAGTGAGAAACCGCACTATCCTTAATTTCATCAACCGTTCATCATTGTTGGAAATCTGGAGGTGCTAGTGAGTTGCCTTCAGAAATTTGGCTTCCATTGCGATATTTAACACAGCTGTTTTGAAACCGCATGTCACGTTCAGCCTTGTCATCTATAACGTTGACATACTGAGGCAAATTAGACAACAAGAAGAACTTGTTAGGATCCGAGAAAGCCTACATGCTGACATATACCACATCTCAGAGATCCTCAAACAAGATATCGGTGAAGTGTTTTGAATACATTTTCCACCAGCAAGGACAAACGTATGTTTCAGGTATGCCTGTCTGGGACCTTGTAACAGTGGCGTCCAGTTCTTACAAAGTACATTAGTGGATACTCCACATTAACTGTCATTTACGTATTTTGAGACTAGGTTATGCTAAAGTAAGAAGCAACTGACCACAGAAACATCAAATGCAACTAAGGCTGAGTTCTACTTTCAGGCAGGTGAGCTTCTGAAGCGCTAGCGTTCAACGGATAGCTGGTAACCCCAATGTACGGGTCGGGCGTCTAAACTCAGAACAGAGCCAAACAGATCATACTGCTGTTAGATTTCCAGGGCGTGTTGCATACCTACTGGAGTTCATGCCTAGGCCCTGATTATGCATTATATGCCAGGTTTATCTTGAGGTTTGCTCATAAAAGTCATCCTCAATAGTTTGACTTAAGTAAACGAGTAGCATCTGCTACCACTACCAAGTATCATATCGATTTGGACTGAGGGCTAGCTACTAACCACCGTCTCCAATAGATAGTATATACGAACACTGGTTGCACTTACGAGACCCCATAAAGATAGTAACTGGAGATATTCGCTGCCTCAAAAAACGTTCCACGAAATTTCACTGTTTCTGCGAGTTCCTATCAACTTCTCAACTATCATCGATCCTGGTAGACAGTGAGTTTAATAATCTACATAGGACCAAATAATACCGCCAAGCCTGGTGGTACGAGGAACTCCAAATACTCGGCTCAAATGATGGTGAGACTTTAATCAGTGAATTGACTCAATTTTCCATGAAAATATGGGAAAATGAGAATATTTCGCCAGTGTGTAATGAAGCGTGTGACAATCATCGGGGTATTAATTCATTAACAGTTATATCGAAAGTAATGGCTGCTGTTTTGCTCCATAGATTTTACAAAACCCATAAGGAAGATGAGTTGATTGATATATACCTTTGTCTGCACTCACCCTTGGAGACGAACATTTAAACTTAGTCGATAAGTTCACGTATCTAGGTAGCTGTGTGAGGACTGGTGGAAGTGTAATGGATGAGATCCTGAACTGTACAATGAAAGCCAGGGAAGAATACACCAACCTAGGCAATTTCTGGTGTTGTCGCATCGTCCACTGGGAATTTGCGGAAAAACCGGTGATGTGGTCAGTCTATGATGTAACGCCGTAAAACGAAGGATAGTTGTTTTAGGTTACTACCGTTTGGGACATCAAGATTCCCTGGGTGAAGTCTGAGACACAATCTGAGTCAGTAACTCAAGAAGTTGTCATACATGGCTGGGAATCGTAGTCAGTGATGAACATGCCACAAATTCCTCATTTCCCCTTTTCCTGAAAGTAACATGCAGCAATAGACGTTCCTTAAGTGCTCTTGATAAGCATGCATAATCTGTGTTTCATGGTGTTATTTCTCAATTATTTTACTTCATTTCCACATACTGTGTTTTACCGTTTTTACATAGCACACCTTCTTGGGGCCCATATTGCACCAAATAAATAAATAAACTGGCCTAGATGAAGGTGTGAAAATGAAACCATTCGACTACATCGAGTGATACAAGATTGTCTTAGTTAGTTACCACAAAACACATCTCTTTAAGGGTATTCAGTCTACTGAATACGTTTTCCAACGTATTACTCTGTTACTGCTATACTCCACTCTACTCATTTGATTACGTCTGATTGTGGTTTCTCCTAAAAATCAAATGTTTACACACTGTGAACAATGATTTGCCTAACACCATGAATGATGTGAAGTAATTAGCAATGAACCACTATGATACACACTACTGATTTATAAGACCTGTTTAGATTTAAGTGATCTACTTACTGAGAAGTAAGACAATTTGATTTCTTCGGCTCAGTTGAAATTACCTAGTGAATTCAATTCAAAATTCTTGAAACACGAGTTCTTTGTTTGTTTCACAATGATCTATGGCTACTGATTGCTAATTACTTTTAGAAATTCCATCATAAAGTAAATTTATTTGATAAAATCACACAGTAATACAGCATTATTTACTCATGCTACTGTATCACTGATTTTATCAAATGAATTTACTCTATGATGGAATTAAACTCTACCACAGTGTTCATGTTCTATTCTTATACTTTTAGAAATCATTACACACATCCATGACTTCTGTTTCAACTTCACTTAATAATGTGTTAAAGGCTAACATGGAAATATTACTTATTTGCAATGTAGTTTATCTAATCTATAAAAGAAAATACCTCAAATATACTCACCTTATTGGTATAGTTATAAGTTGTGTAGAGGAAGCGCAGTGGAAACCACTTTGCAATTATGTAACCACATAGTTTTGTTGAGTATTCCATATTTTAAAAAAAATAGAAATTGTATGACCGGACTAACGGTTTTAAGGCTTTTATACAACTAAATAAAGAAGGAATGAAACTGTGATTGGTACACTTTCGTGTTAAGTTAACGGGTTGTGTCTAAAGTCTGCCCTACACATAAATACACAAACACAGATTGGATAAAATCCAATGGATATGGACAATGATCATTCTATAGGCTTTTAGAATAGATACTTTATTTTTAAGGCTGCCCCTAATGACTCACAAAAATGCACATATGACTCATCATAGTTGGTTTAAAGGTCATATAGGTGTATAAGTAAGCCCTTAAACGAGGTATGTGAGAGGGCAAAAACACAGCAATCGAACAAACATATAGATACACAATGTGGATACAATATATAAACACATAAATATTTATGCTGAATCAATATAAAATCACTAAGTGAAGTGAGGCAAGGTTGAGAAAAAGCTAAGATTGATCGGAAGATGATTACAGATTTTTAATCACGTTTGTCTGTTACATTTGAAGGGAAAACAAGCTAGTAGACAAAAACTTGCAAGTACTATCCAAATGAAGTGGCTAAAGAGTATGGTTTCACAATGATACCTCTATCTGTTCAAGGAAGGTAGTAGGCAAGGATAAAGAGTCAGGCAGTTGTATGGCAAAAAAGAGGTGTTGTAACATAAGTGGCCACTCAAAAAAAGAATGTTAATTATAGATGAGGCCAATAGGATTTCGACCTCACATTCAAACAATGTAGGAAACTTGCCTCCTAGAGGAAAATCAGGATGCGATTAAAAAACAATTACTCGAAAAGAGTCTCAGGGTCAATTTGTTGATTTGTTGACCATTACTTTGCTTTAAATTCAAGCATCATAAATGCATAACACGGTCAGATATTTCAGTAAAACATTCAAGAAATATAGCTGAAGAAGAACTGAAATCGCTGTCAAAATGTGAGACTGAGATGATCAGACTGTGAACGATCAGCATTTAGGTCGTCGGTATCATGAACTGGTAAATGATCCAAGAAACCAAGAATCTGATTGATTGATTGACTTACTGAAGTGATCAGTAGGTCAGTTACTCGAGAGATGGGCTAATAATGAGAGAGTTGCCGATCTAAAGTTACCAGTAACTTAGGTTTCACTTTTTACAATGCGTGAAGTTTCTACGCCTGTGAAACTCCTGCAACTGAAGATATCATTAGACATTGCTCAGAATCTATATAAGTGATAAACATACAACTTCCTTGTTTCTCTACAAAGTGGAGATTCTTAGTACTCCTTTTGAATATTCTTTTATTATATTTATATTTTTTCTATTTTACTACTTACCTTCTGTCTATATCGTTTGGAGTGGAACGGATAGAAAATGCCTAATGAGTTCGTAAAGCTTTTTCTAGGTCAAAATTTTATTTGACTTTACCCATACAGTGTCCTATATACCCCGTTGAAAGGCCTATGAAACACGTAAAGGTGTATTAATGACAGCATCAGATTGATAAGTTGCAATGATCTGACTTGCGTAAAATACTAAAAACAGTAGAGAAAATTTTCTAATAGAACTACTTGTATAGAATTGTTTGTATTAGTGTAAATAGTACTACGGTTCCCTTTTTCTTTCTCTGATATCATGAGAAGGGAATAAAATATATTTTTTATTCCTGAAGTAGAAAATAAAGACGCTTGAGTTAGTTGGTAGGATAATTCTGCTTAATAAAATTGTTTATTTTAAATAATCTACCTAGCAGAGAAAGCGATGCGTTTAACTATAAATGGATGAATGAATTAATCACCAGAATTGGAGGAAGAGAACAGACAAACAGAAGATCAATATCAGTATAGCATTTGTCAACACTGTGTAAATCTTCTTCGAGTTGCCAAAACACACACAAACACACACCTGCACATTAAGGCGAGGAAAGCAATACTAGAGAAGGTAAAGAATTACAAGGTAAGGTAGATAAAATCAGGGGGGGGGGCGTAGAAAGCTATAATAAGATAATAAAATACATGTCAAAGAAAACGAAATTAGTCGCCTCAAGAGAGAATTAATGTAGAAGACGTACATGATTTACAATTTAACGGCTTGATACCAATTCCATCAAACTTTAACTAACCTAATTACATTCACATTTATTCAAATCAATAGTGATTCTTACTATTGAACGCATGCTCAACAAAACTGAATGCGACCAATAAAGTTATCATAGTCACGGTAACTGCTTTCCTTGTAACCTTTAAGTAAGTTATCAGAAGCAATATCATATCTATAATACCGGAATAGTATGAGAGTTTTATGAAAAGGAGTTGTCAACTTTTATTTGAAATTAATAGTGAATATTAACTTTGGTATCCAGAATGTATAAATCGCTTAGAGAGATATTTTGAACATTGAAAACCATGGGAATGAGGTACTTGAAAAGTTGACTTACTATGATATGAATTAGATTTTAAGTTTAGGACTTCATAAACAGTCTCTGAAATTAGTGATTATAAGGTAATCAAAATAAAGCTATTGGATTAACATAACCTGAGCTGTGAATATGTATCAATATAACATTAACAATAAAACAAGGTGAACAAAGACAGATCACTTACTTTTCAACATTTGCAAAACGAGCAACTAGTATATCAATAATTTGTTTTTCTTCCTCCATAAGTTTCTTTCCTGGAGTATGTGAAATTGTTTGAGGTATCACAGGTGAATAAACTGCATGATTAGTTATATCGGTAGAATGAGTTGGAAGATTTAGAATCGACGAGTGTGATGGCTTCGGTGAAATGTTGCGTGTTGAGCGCATACGTAATCGACGTTCTTGTAATGATTGATTATTAATTATAGGAGAAACAGGTAATGAAGGATTTTGTTCAGATGAACGAGTTGAGCATATGGTAATGGATTCTGATTTACGGGCCGTTGGTTGATGACAAGGAGCTGTAGGACACGGATTATATAATGAGTCAGTGAAGTATACAGGTACTTGAGCGTTAGGATAGGCGGTTGGACTATATGACAATGCACCATGATCAAACAAGCGTTGAAAACGCTCTAATTCCCATGGCGGTTTACCAGTGAATGGATTATCACTATATCTACCCTGAGCTGAACTGTTTAACACACTTAATTTTGAATATTCTCCTGCACGCGAAGACATTGAACCACTCAAAAGAAGTGGACAAACAATATGCCATGATGATGTAGCGTCTAGAAATGCCTCTACATTAGGTAAAGTTGCAGAATGTTTCTGAAGTGAAAATAAATGAAAAAAATTGTATTAATTACCATTAGACTAGTCAAAACGATCTATCGAAACAACTCAACACACGTTGCATACCTCTTTAGATTTAGTTATTATAAAAAATATTGAAAATAAAAATAGAATATGAATAGGAAACAAGCAGTATAAATCGGTTAGGGCTGTGGTGTGGAGAATAGAAGACAAACTGGAGAGTTACAGGGAAAATCGAATTCGAGATGTCCAACGATTATTTCACACCACATACTTGTACGTAAGTTTACAATATTTCTCTGCACTATAGTTAACTTCAGGGGAAAATAAACCAAAGTGAACAGTTCAAGAGCGATGACTTCAAGAACTGAAAAGTAGACTGAAAGTTAACTACTGTATCACAGTAGGACTATGAACCAATAATTTTTATTTATATATTTGAATAAAATAAAAACAAAAAGAATCACGTCACTTCCCTACAGATAACTGTTGAAATACAGCTTACAATATAGCTACTTGTCTTCCCCTATGCACTGTACAGTCCTCATGCAATCATTCTATCACGTCTAAGCCTGTTTCTTGTTCTCTTCTTTAGTGTGATTTTTCTTTCAAATGTGCCAGCTTGAACAGATACACTAACGAAAAAAGTTTAATGTTGGTCCATCAGTCAATCATACGGCATGAGATGAGAATGACACAGTCAAATGCGATTCAACCGTGAAAGTTAATGATAAAAATATTCAGACCACAATACACTACTTATGACAGTATAAACAGTGTAGGCGTGAATGCTATTAGGAAGTGACATGGTTACTAGCCAACCAAACTGTCATTACCAAAAGAGAAATCGTTTCACTTACATGAATTCAAATTTATAAGGGGTATCTTCAAATACATCGTGTTCAGAGAACAGAACCTACCGTGAAAACTACGGCTATCATATAATTGACAGCTTTTTTTTTATAGAAGACTGTGGCCAACTGTTACGTTTGAAGTGAATAACTCAGAAAAAATAAATAGCACTGAGCGTCTATTTCGCTCTAATCTGGAACACACATTATCCTGCAAGTGATCTAGTCCAAGGAAATAAGATTAATAGACGATTAAGTCACATTTCCGTCATTGAGTTTAATTTCTTCAACCCATGATTTTCGCACTGTGCCGATTCGCGACACATAATGGACAGGAAGTAGTGCGCCAAAGGATTTCCGGGAAAAGATACATAATGTACAGCGAAAATTAATATTAACCATCTAAATAGAGCAATCTTTCAAATAATTTTAAGGTGGGATTTAGGCATACAGGAGGATTTGGTCGACACATACGTACACTAAATCACCAGTTCAGCATTAACCTGTGGTCGTATTTTTTGAAAATTTGTTTGTCACCTTAACCCTTGTTGACCCACTCTCTTCCTAATGCTTTGTATATTTCTGTCTGTTCAACTGATAGGTTAACACTTTCCCTTATTCTGTCTGTGAAAATTCTCAAGACCTACATCGCATGTGAAGCAAATAGATGGAGTGGATTAACAGAACCCAATTTTACTCATCTTATCATTAGTTTAATTTGAAGTAAAAAACAACTATTTGTCAAGTAAAGTTATAGATGAAAAAAGGTGGAATAGACAAGACTTAAGTTCACCATTCACTTCAACAGTCATTGAGAAGATATAAGTGTAAGTGGTCTTATGTGTCTGTAGTGAAGTAAAGCGGAGCCCTAGAGTGCAGAAACCTGATAGAGAAACCAAAATCAGAAAAAAACAATAGATTGAGCGAAGAAATATATTCCTTTTCAATTAGTTCCGCATCATCGGCTCTACACTAATATAAAGTTTTTTACATCAAAATTTTTTACTAATCAAGTGGTTATTTTAGTTAATCAGTTTTATGTATAGACGGGGGTGAAATTAAGAGGTTAAAGGTCATCAAAACAAATAACTAACACCTGTTAGTAACAAGATATCTAAGTTCTAAAAGAAGGGTGAAAATTAATTACGGAATTGAAGATAATTTTCACCCTTCTTTTAGAACTTAGATATCTTGTTACTAACAGGTGTTAGTTATTTGTTTTGATGACCTTTAACCTCTTAATTTCACCCCCGTCTATACATAAAACTGATTAACTAAAATAACCACTTGATTAGTAAAAAATTTTGATGTAAAAAACTTTATATTAGTGTAGAGCCGATGATGCGGAACTAATTGAAAAGGAATATATTTCTTCGCTCAATCTATTGTTTTTTTCTGATTTTGGTTTCTCTATCAGGTTTCTGCACTCTAGGGCTCCGCTTTACTTCAGTACAGACACATAAGACCACTTACACTTATATCTTCTCAATGACTGTTGAAGTGAATGGTGAACTTAAGTCTTGTCTATTCCACCTTTTTTCATCTATAACTTTACTTGACAAATAGTTGTTTTTTACTTCAAATTAAACTAATGATAAGATGAGTAAAATTGGGTTCTGTTAATCCACTCCATCTATTTGCTTCACATGCGATGTAGGTCTTGAGAATTTTCACAGACAGAATAAGGGAAAGTGTGAAGTGAAAAGGAATATATTTCTTCGCTCAATCTATTGCTTTTTTCTAAATGCGTAAATAGGAATTTGGATATTACTAAAATCAGAAAAATCAAACCGATTGTATATTTCATAATAATTTTGCATTGATGCGTATTGATAATTTAATAATTGAGACATTTGTTAATTAAACAAAAATAATGCCTGATAGGATTGTTAAAACAGCGATGACAGCGAACGGGAAAAAGTATATATATATACATATATATATATATATATATATATATATATATATATATATATATATAAAGTCAGTTAGATAAACTTACGGTAGGTTTCGTTGTAGGTGAAATAGTTAAAGGTAACGTTAACTCAAAACGTTCCAATAATCGTAGGGATAATTCTGGATAGATAGAACATAATTCAGCTAAATCATGCCTGTCAATAAATTGAACATCGGCATATGTCAGTGCACGAACAGCAAAACGAGATTTTGGAGGTGGATTCGGTTGATAAACAACACCGTTTGCATTATTGCCATTATGGTTATTATTATCGTTCTGCATAGATGCATAGTCTTCACTTTGCATAACTTTTGAACTAGTATTCATGTTAGCAAAACGATTGTTTACACAATAATCCCATGCATTCCCAAAATTGTTTGTATTTAGGTTCTTCTGCACTGTGGCTAGAGGAGGGAGGCCACCGAAAAAATCACCAGGATTCAACACACCTAAAATGACGTCATCTGTGGTCACAACCTCTAAACTGCCTTTAACAACATAATAGACAGCTGTCAATAGATCACCAGTGTGCACTAATGTATCACTTGGTGGCATATGTGAAGAACGGATACGCAGAGATATATTTCGAAGGCAACCATCATTTAGTGCTAAATCAAGTGAAGAATATAACACAAATGAATATTAACTAATTACATTGATAGGACAAATGAAAACCGTACAAAAAAGTTTAATTTTTAATTAGGAATCTACACGTTTTTTTTCAAATAAAATTTCTTTAAAAAAATTGTCTATGAGGACATATCCCTGTTATGCAGGGACGGGGGAAGAAAAGTCATGAGAGAAGTCAGTCAATACGAAGCTTTGAATGCACTTTTCATGATCTCTGTCATTCGTTCTTATTATTATTCCCTTACCTGTTCATGACTAATTCCATCATAAACAAAGTTTTAAAAGTTAATTTATTCATTTTTTGCACTTCTCTCCACTTTTTCCCAAAACGCAGTGAACACCTTTCAGTCATATTTGATCAAGCAGTTACTGTACAACCAAGCAAAAACAGAGAAGAGAAAACAGTTGATTGTTGGGAGAATGATATTCTGACGAAAAAGTACTTGGCATGACACGTATGCAAATATCATTTCCTTTTTATTTATTATGCATATTATTTATCCTAATCTGATTCTACTAGACATTAGCTAGACAATAAATGTTATTAATTAGCTACTGGTGAAATATAAAGGGTGGGGTGGGGTAGAAGAGAGTTGTTGTTACTCAGAATAATCGAATGCAAAAAAGATAATTGTCACTGATAGAAATTGTATTCGCGCAAAATCTATTTTGCATAGACATAGTATTGACGACAGTAATGAGTGCAGAACTATTAGACAATCACCGCGTCGTACGATTTCAGATGATTGACAAAAGTTATCAAACAGTAAAAAGCAGTATTACAGTAACGGTGACAATAAGATTGATGAGAATAACAAAATTTTAGTAGGAACAGCAACAACAACAACAACAACTATAGTAATGCAATTTGTCCATGTACATTTTATGCCACTTCATAATATAGTGAACAAAAGTGGGGCAAAGTAAAGGTAATCCAGTGAACAGGTAGATAGACTCATGTGTACAACTTCACTGTCATATTGTGACAAGAGAAGGCAAGACACGGAAGTTAAGATATCTTTTACACTAATCAAACCGCTGTTTATAAATCTACAGTTTATATTCGTTAACCAATCACTGAGCGCGTGATTTTGGTTTACATTAAACGACATGAAATATAATGTTCAAATATACATGGTATTCTCTTGCTAAGGCAGTATTGAACTGTGAGAATAATATTCTGACTCTAGCAACAAACGGAATGTTCAGATAGGTGCTTCTTATTTATTTATTTTGATTATAGCTTGATTCCACACAGTATCTTTGGTACAAGTATGGAATTTTGAGCATGTGTTCTTGGTCGACCAGTGATATTAGGTGTGTGTCGGCAGGGGATCAAACTCCGGATCGTGTGGATGGTCGATGAGAGTCTCAACCGCTGTGCCACCGCTAATGCCCTATTGAACTGTGGGAATATGTGAGAATAATATTCCGTTGGAACGTATTATCTGTATCACACCACCACAATATAACTGAACATGTTTGTATATATATGCGGATAAACTACCACTACTTAGATTGAAATATAATAGGGAATCGAACACTTGACTAAAACTGATGTAGTAGTATAGTAACTAAAGGATGATGGCAAACTATTAGTCAAGTTTATAGTCGAGTCACTAAGGTATACTATATTTTTGTCTTGGATACAAAACCACTAAACAATGTAGTAATAACATCTTTGACGTCATAAATATGTGACTCTGATTAAAATTCCCATGAGAATAAGCAGTTCCCCTGCATTTATGAATCCCAACAAAAGAGAATAGGAGAATGCATAAGCTTTTAATTAGGGAATGATTCTCAACGTGAAAGCTACCAAATAACCTAAGAAAAAATATTACACTGATAAAGACTTGAAATATGAAGGAACCAAGTTCATTTATCGATCAGGAGTTATTTCCACGTGGAACTGAAACTGTGGATAGGAGTATTTCCTACCCCGAATATTTTCGTTTCATAGGTGACAGATACCGTAAGTGTGAGACGTAACAGATGATATGCATGGGATACATGAGCACTGTATTTCAGTGAACGTATACAAGTTTGTGCAATAAACCTGTAATTCCAATGGATATACAGCATTAATTTCAGGCCCCTTGCTACTTACTACTGTTACAAATACTAACTGAAAATCAACTGAGTACCTATAGACCAATAAAGTACAACTTCATGTATCTAGCAAACCGCAGCATCCGATTAACTTTTATGACTTACACTGATGTTAGCACATAAAACATCTTTTCACTGAATTGTCTAGGGATAAATAAAATGTTTTATGTAAGATAAAAAATGAAGAGCATATATATAAACTTCAACGTACACTTGAATGCGGCTGATCCACTTAAAAAATGACGATAAACATAAAGACAAATGTCTGATTGTAATGACTCAGGAAAGCTATACTGAACCATTGTCATATCTATGCCATTAGTATGCTCCCATACTTGAGTAGAATATTCTTCTAATCGTTGACGTAATGGACTTGGTATTTGATGAAAACGTATGAATTCTTTAATACGTAACATTTGTGCATGATAACGTGCTGTTCCACTGTACAATCGTTGAATCAGTGCACCAACATTACCAAATATACTTGCATACATTAGGGCTAAAAATCAACAGGTAAAGAGAAAAGAAACAAAAAGAATGAAATGCTTAGACATTGGTAGACAAGGCCTCATAAAATCCAAAGTTAACTCGGGACCGGTTACATCACTATGCAGGTTGAAAGTTCTTCAACTTCACACCAATTATTAAATTATGGAACAAGTTGTAAATCTGTTGGCGTCATAAATTACACGTGCACAGTACCTTATTTCAACTTTTGAATATCTCAGCTATAGTATGATTTGTTTTTTATTCTACGTTCAAACTAGTTCCTATCTTTTAATATTTTTTAAATGGTTATGCTTATCCTTTGTATTTCGTTGCCTATTGGTTTGATATAAAACGACTTAGTTTAGTGGGCATTCATTGGTTTCAGCTTATCAGTTTTTAGAGTAGCTATTAGTTTGAGAAGGAGAGAGAAAAATCGCTTAGTAACGTTTATAATATTGACAATGACACCTAGTGAAAAAGCACCCTATAACAGTCAGCACCATAACGACTAGCTGATGCTACCAGCTGTACATGCAGTAAGGCTGTTGCTAACAGACAATGTTCTCGCTTCTTAGAACAAAATTTGCAGATATCCATAAACAGTCTGCAAAGGCGATGACAATAAACACTTTTACTAGAGATTTTATTACTGTTTAATATCAGTGTTTACTATTCTATTCAACTGTAATTAGGCACATCATACTTCAGTCAATATAAACGTGGACTGTCCTGAAAAAGAAAACTATGCTGGTGTATACAATTTAAGCTGTTGTACTGACGGGAGGCGGCTAAAATTGTAATCAATATTTCGAGTCAATGGTTGCAGAGCTGATCATGGGGATATGATAACCCCATTAAATGGACGACCTTGCAACTAACTGTACACCTTTCTCACCTCATTGTCTAACCTTTAGCCAATCGCCAACCGATCAGAACAATTCATTTTCCACTAACCTAGCCAAATTCTAACGCAGTTAGGATTGTATAAACGCGATGTGTTTTTCCCTGATAAAAGTCCATATCCTAACAGTCACGGGCCAATCTTGGTCTTTTGATTTATAAATGGCTCAGTGAATCAGAAAGTACTAAAGACGAATGGGTGTGTCTAGCATTCAGCTGAGCTGTCTATCGCGTTCAGACATATCATACCCACGTATAAACCCCCTCGGTCCTATCAATTTTACTTCCCCAACCTCAGAGTTTGACTGTTTCTTCCTTGAAAGCATCCGATCATACCAAGCAATTAAATTGTACTAATTAACAGTGGAATTTTCGTTTATTTAGTTTTTTCTGTTTTTTTAAGTGTGCCCCCATAGCTCAGTGGTTAGAGCACTGGTCTAGTAAACCAAGGGTCGAGAGTTCAATTTGTGCGTCGGTGGCACAGCGGTTAGGACGCTCGCCAACCATGCACACGGTCCGGGGTTCGATCCTCGGCCACAGACGCACTCCCTTACCTCACAAATCAAGCAATAAAACTGGTAAAGAGGGAAGGTTGGGCATGAGGCTAACAACTCCATCCTGTAAAAATAAACACCACTGCTACAGGAACTTCAAGTCTCTAGCTTGAAGTCCTATGTTCCATTGGGAACGCGAAGCGATAAAAAATACCACATCACAGGAGAATTGCATGATATTTATACTACTGATTAACTATTTTGAGTAGTTAGTGGTGGTACAGTTCAAAATCGTTCACAATGATGCAGATGCATTTACTCCTTGTGACCTCGCGTGCCCATTAACCCCCTCATGTTAATGTTCTTTCTCCCGAACGTTTCTGCTTATCATAGTTCTTTTGAATCTATTTTTCTCTCTACCTTTGTGTACCATATTGAGTATGTCAGCTTGAAATGCTGCACCACTGTGCAAAAGTTCAATGTTGAAGATTAGTCCGTCATGAATAACTGGATAAAATTCGCATGAACTAGTAGTGCTTGCTGGCCACACCAAAGTCATCTAAACACTGGACGGCAGTTCCGCTCGTTTTGGGGTCGTGATTTGCAGTTCACTCAGATCGAGGTGTAATTTCACCAGTCTCCTTTGTAAACTGAAATTATTCAGGTCAGCTTGATACCATAACTGGTAATCAAGAAACCAAGCGTAAATTTCTGACACTATAAACTTACTACTGATTAATTGAGATGAGTAGTTGTATACCATTCACATCAACTAGCAGTGCTTGTTGGCAAAGCCATAGTCCGGTGGTGTTTGGATCACTTCGATCTGATTGGCTAGCCAGTGCTCCTAGTTGATGCGATCGGTATACAACTACTCCCAATCAATCACAAGTAAGTATGTAGTGTCACTCAGAAATTTCAGGCAACCAGCAGCATAATCATCATACGACAAATATTGTTTCAAGTAGTACGAGTCTTTTTCGAATAAAATAAAAATTACGCCGTATCACCTAAGGGCTAACGCACACGAGAGAGAAAAAAACACACAAAGAAAACACTTATTGTGTAAATAGCAAGCTTTCACACACAAACATACATCACAACTTTAAGGGATACAAATGGAAGAAAAACTATTTTAAGGAAAGGTCAAATAAGGCGAAAGAAATGACTGATCGTATCCATGTGTGTTTAGACGCACACACACACACACCTTAACAAGTAAACATCATTATCATCCTTAATTGACAGAGAACACTGAATAGAATCAATCAACCTACCAATCAATCAATATATTTTTTGAAAATAAACAAATAAATAAGAAAAAGACATGTAAGGCTTTAAACCAATAACTGATGTAAGGAGAAAAGCCAAAGTAAAAGGTAGGCTGAAATGTTGGCAGTGGACTGTGGAAAGACAACAGTCACAACACGAAACTTACATCCAACTAGCATAACAACGATGGAGAAAATTTTCTCAGCATTTGTATTCGGACTAACATTTCCAAAACCGATAGATGTAAGACTAGAAAATGTGAAATACAGTGCTGTGATATATTTGGTTTTCAAATCCGGACCTGAATTCGGTTGATCAGTATAATATTGTTCTGTATGTATAGCAAGTGTGTCTAACCAACCAATTTTCGGTTCCCTATACAAATGCTCTGCATGACCAATGGCATACCTATAAAAAAGGAAACAAGAGGAAATATGTAGAAGTGCTTTTTTTAAAAAGGAAAAAAACAACTAGTTCTCTTAAACGCTTTGTTTTTGAACCGATTTACTGGGATTTTAATGGGACTAGTGAAGTTCACCAGGTAGGAATTAGAACGATTGACATTAGTTGATATAAGTTGGGATATATAAGCCATAAAATTTTGAATCCAGTGACTGGCTGAAAATCTACTTTTTCCGGATGTCGATGCTACTATTGAATAAGAGAATGTAAGAAGTCATTGGTGCGAACTGATAAAGTGAAACTTCTTTCAAATTGTTCTCGTTTTTCAATGGTGTTTTAACTGATATCGGCTCATTTATTACGAACTACTCTGGAAAAGTGTTTAGTAGCCTAATTTATAGCAGATAGGTTAGTTTATTCAGCAGAAACTCCAGTGTTTATGAACTGTCTTAATAGAAGTATGTGCTGACAGTAATTCGTCCTGTGAAACGAGGTGACAGAATTTAAAAATTACCGGAGTTTCACCGCCAAATAGCATTCATTATTATAACTTTAAGTGATACAAATAAGATAGATGTTTATACCATTGATAAAAGCATACTTTGACAGTGTCACTATGTGAGAGCCCATTACAAAAGATAATTCAAAATCTCCACCAAACAGATTCACAGGTACGATTAATTCACATAAAATAAGCAGCCTTTCATATTCCTGAAAAATTGTGCTGCATCAGTGTGTTGCATAGCATTACTATTTGTTTACAATAAACTATTTGTTAAACAGAATTCAATCAGTGAAACAGAAAAGAACAATATTTTTGTTAATTGTTTAGCAAACATAAATCTTTGGCTCGTGGGATTTGCCGCTTGACCTTCAGTTAGAGGGTCATGTGTTCAGTCGTCTTTTACTTAACAGGTTAAACGAAGTCAAGCGCAGGTACATAAGTGTAAATTCACACTCATTTATTTTAAATGGTCTTCAAAATAAAACAATGCTAAACACAGTAAAACATAAAAGTCACACCCACTTACCAAATACAAGCCAACCAATGGGCTATTAAAGCAAATAAGGCTGTTAATAATATCAAAATTGAAGCACCATACTCTGAATATCTATCCAATTTTCGAACAATACCGACTAGACGCAGAAGACGAGCTGATTTTAAAAGGCCAGTTAGTGCAGTAGGCTAGAGGAATTTAAAGAAGAAAAAAACGAAAACACTAGGAAGAGCAAATCACAATTTACAAGGATGTTTAGCAGACGCCTTCTCCTAGATTTTACTGGGTTTTTTTAGCGAAAGTAACGGAAAACGTCAACCTATTAAATGACAAACAGTGTTGAGTTGCTTATTTGCAATTATGAAGAAGGAATAAGGTTACGGTCAGTAACCACCATAGTTAACACGGTCGAGTTGAATCTACCACTCAACAGCTCATTATTTCTTCTATAAGCTACTCGAAAAGTGAGTTGCTGATGAAGCAAGGATCGACCTACTTAAGATGTAATATTCACTGATATGTAGTCTTTCCAATCACTGAAACATTCCATATCCCATCACCATACGACTCGCAGCACCAACTACTTTTGTTATCCTTAATGCATTTTTCTTAGTTTTATAGTATTTTGGAGCTCACGGTGACATTTACGTCATAACTCCTGTTTGGTTTTACACCTTTTATTTTCATGTGCTAACACAAAGCATGGAATCATACATGGTGATATTACATCTTGTATTAATAATGAATGACTTTCTAATTCTTTTCATTCCTTCAAGCTCCCAGTGGAAGACAGGGTTCACAAGCTAGAGACTTAAAGTTTCTGTAGCAGTGGTGTTTATTTTTACAGGATGGAGTTGTTAGCCTCATGCCCAATCTTTCCTCTTTACCAACTTTATTACTGGCTTAGCGAGGTGAAGGAGTGCGTCGTCCAGGGATCGAAACCCGGGACACATGCATGGTCGGCGAGTATTCTGCCGCTCTGCCATCGACACACAACTTTCTAATTAGTAGGATTATTAGCTTATTTTCTGGATTAGTGCTGATACAAAAGCACAAAACTAGCTCAGATGTTTTCGTTTTGCCTTCAGTATTCTTCTACCGCTTAAGAGCACAGGTTTAATACTAGAGCATAACCGAAACACAAATAAATTTAAGCAGTATCTCTCTTTTATCAAAATACTCATTAAAAATTTAAGACATACACACACATACACACACACACGATATTTTTTGTTCACAGCTATATTCGGATGTGTGATTACAAAAGAAGGACGACATTTAGTCTTTTTGGCAGAAAATGGTTCTAAAACGCAGCAGGAGATTTCCACTTCAGAGTTACAGAGGAGTTTTTAAAATATAAAATACTGTAGAGAAATCAATATACTAGTTAAAAAGCAATGTCTTAATAGATATAAAGGTTAGCGGCTAAAGTGAAGGAGACAATGAAACTATGAAACGAATGGCCAAGGTAAGAGTAAACAGCAGTAGACTTATTTCTTTTCACACTACTGATAGTATACATACGAATGCAGACAAAGATGGTGAAGATGAAACAAAATTTGACACAACCGATGGATAAATAATGTGGAGGTCATTACCATATAAACTGACGACAGTTGTTGTACTATAATCTTTTAGTAGGAGTAGTAATGGCACTGTTATAGAAAGATAACCTGTTCAGAAATTTCAGATGTTCAGGCTAAAGTATCTGCATATTCTTTTCTTTGAACAGCAAAAATGCCTACTTCCCATATTCATCAACAAAATAAAGCAGATATGAGTTAAGTTCAGAAACGTTTTTAACAAAATTACTGTTTAACACTAAAAACCAGTTGCAAAGGGGATAGAGAGTAACATTGAAAATTAACTGATACAGAAGTAATATTTTCACATAAAAAAGTTGATCAATTAATTAATCCACAAATTTTAATTAAGCCATTGCCCTGACATTCTGTTTTCATTAGAGAGAACTTCAGTCTAGTCGAATTGCAAAAGGTAAGAAAAACACTTAAAACAAACATAAATATCGGCGAAGTGGAACATCACTGAAAAACAGTAAACAAGGGATTTTTTCGATTATCAATTTCCGACATTTGATGAGGCTTATTATTGCTATAATGGGTTCATTTTTTTCGAAGACTTATACTGTTTATATATATGTATGTATGTATATATAATTTTTTTATTACAGCTTGGTTCCACACAGTATTTTTGCTACAAGTATGGAATTTTCAGCATGTGATATCGGTAGCACAAATTTTGCAGGCCGATTAGTGGTCAGGTGTGCGCCAGCAGGGGTTCGAACCCCGGACCATGTGCACAGCCGGTGAGAGTTCTAACTACTGTGCCACCGATGCAAGGTGTGCAGGTGCACCCATGTGGTGAGTTGCCACCACACGAAAAATAAGTGGAACTGAATGCCCCTATCATAAAGACGATCTGCACACATTTGGACATCAAAGCATTTATTGGGAAAATGGGTAAAGGGGAAAAGGAACTAAGATAGCAGAAGATAAGTTAAGTAATGATGAAGTTACCTTAACCCAGAGATGAAACCTTTCGAAACAAATAAATAGTAAATCTTGGTTGAAACCCCATCAAAATAAGCCCATCCTGGACTAAACATCTAGTTTGCTGTAATGCTGCAGACGAATTATGTACTTTAGGGATACATATTGTTTTATTCTTCCATTTTTACACAAATATTTACCGTGTCATTCGAATTGACAAGGGTTAATTTACTCACGAGAAATTCCTTTGACGGTTTGAAGTATTTAGGTGTTTAGTGGATTAGTCACATTAATAGGACACAACTTAGGCAGGTAAGGCAAATACGTCAATCAGTAGTCTTAGGTTTGCAGAACTAGAAATGTCTGGGTGACCTGTTACAATATCATCTTTCATCTTACGTAATGGTGTTTATGGGAACGTAATTTTTCGGGATGAGATGCTACACATATTCCAAAGTCAATTGCTTTTTACATGTGTTGTAAAAACACCAGTGGACATAAATAGTATGTTCAGTGATTTGATTACACTTGATATTTAACGAATTTACTGTGGAGCTAATTTAGCTTCTATGAAGTAGATACGTTCTTTGGTCTTTTTTCCTTTGGACTTAGATTATACATTATCCAAGAAGGTCTGCTCTGGATCGGTACTAGCCAATAAGTATACAAAACAGTTGGTACTAGTCTTTACGTTCTTTGCATACCAAGTTGATTTCATCTTTATTGAGATTGAGTCTATCTAAAACAAAAAAATGATAGCATTGTCGATAAAAATAGGCGGTCACTTATTTTTACAATGATTAATAAATGTATGAACAGACTGTTTGAATATCATTTGTATTTTTCTCTTCCCTACTCCCACCTCTCTTATTTTTCCTCGAATTTCACCTGATAAAACTTTGTTGTGGGTGAAAACGCCCAAAAGAAGCCTCAGTTTGCTTTTTTAGAGAGAGAGAGAGAAGTTAATTAGATTATAAGAGCCTAGGTACATTCTTCCTAGACTCGCTATCCTTTGGAATACACACATCTACAGAAAAATATATTAGTTGACACAAAACTCAAATGACCTTCATAAGATGAAAACAAGTAATAGTAAGAAAGTATATACAGAGTGGAAATTTACTCCTAAAAGTCTTTTTATTTGCCACCTAGTGATGAAAGTTCAAGAGACGGGGAAAGTTGTAGTTACACACAACTTAGTTGCTATAGTGAAATAATGGGAGATGCGTCAGGTGAATATGAACATCCACCAGCTTACATGACTTGCTTACAATCAAACTGTATTTGTGAGAAAATTAGAAGTATGCAATACAGTAAAAGTGATCTTAAACTTAACAGGCATAAAGAATCATGGGTTTCATTGGTTTCGGCTGTCGATTTATATTTCTTTTCAAGAATTATTGTTTTTATAAAGATAAACCTGACTATTTTTTATTTTCAATGTAACATTTTACAACAGTATGTGTGGTTCAGGGATCTATGAGATATGACTGTACTGTATTTACTTATTCGAATAGTTGTATATTATGCAAATGCATTAGTAGGTGACATAAAAATATCAAGTAGATTGTGAGAAGACCGTCATTTCAAGTTATCATGAAATTACAAAAATAGGTAATAAAAACGACTGATACTAAAATAAGAACATTGAAAAGATGATAAATTCAGAAAACGATTATTTCAAGGAATACATTTGAGCCACTGTAATCAATACTGAATAGTGTCGATGAGGACTTCCAATTCATTACTCTAAGCATTTCAGAGACACCTAAACAACATAAATAGACTGGCATTATTTCTTTGTCTAATCATTCATTTTTCTTGAATTCATCAAGTAATTTGATGTACTTAGGGACTTGAGTATTTTCCTTTTTTTTCCTCTAAGCGAACTAAAATCTAATTATTTATGTAATAAATTGTTTTGAGGACGGGTGTACACTGTCGGTAGTCATTATGTAATTTCTTAATATCTTCAGGAACCAATTTTGAGTTGTTGTATCAGTTATGTTATCGCCACCACCACCTATAACTAAATAATAAACTAGCATATGTTTTTTGGTAGATGTCAATACGATTCTACAGCCTTTGAAGATGACTTTGTCAATAGGAAATTTACTTTGTTGAATTGTCTTTTAATTTCTCATAATTCGATGTGTACCTGTCTCTCTTTATGTTTGATCTGTTTTAGTCTTTTCTGACAGAATGTTACACGAAGCACACACTCTTTACTTGTTATTCGTAGATGCTAGAGCCGTATAATATTTAGTGAAGATTCAATAATAGATCAATTAACTTGATATAAAAACAAAGTAATGCAGCACTATTTAATAATAACGTTTTGAATAGGATATTTCACTCACAATCATATCGAAATACTCACATAACTTCCTGATTTTTCTAACATTTATTATTTCGCACTCCCTGATTTTGTTAATCACAATGCTTTTATATTTTGCTGATATTAGGGGGTTAACACTAATTTAATAGGACTGATACTCTTTGCCGAATAGTTAAAGACGATCACAAAAGGTGACAACCTTAAATTATTACTAAATGAACATTTCTACCTCTTCGTAACCAAGCATCCTCTTGAACAAAACTCGCATTTAAAGAACATTATACCTAGCTTTACAAAAGCAAATGAATTGATGAACGCACATAAAATTGGTCAACTGCAGGGATCTTGTCTTTTAGGTTATTGAACAGTAATGGTTGACTGGAAACGCTATTTGCAGCGGTGCTACTGCGAATGGCCTTTTCAGAGACATTGAGATCCTCCTTTGAACGGTGTCAGCAGCTACGTCACCACCTTTGAATTTAAGGTTAATACGCATCATTTTCTTGGTTACAGATGTTAAATCACATTTCACAGATTTTGACTATGTTCTTGTCTATAAAACATGGTAGAAATTCATTTTCTATTAGAATTTTTTTCCTCCATAACGTCACAACTACACATACGCTGAATGCAATTGGCAAGTCACTGGATTAGGTTTCGTTTTCGACCAATGGGTATTCACAAACGGATATTTGTCAGTTGACCATTCCATGAAATCTTTCTATAAACCGATCTCCTCAGAGTTTCATCATGAAATATATTTGATACAGTACATAGTATTATCTATTCCTTTTGGAAATTTGAACCTGAATCACTCAGTATTAAGGCTAGAGGCCTTCACATTTAGCTACATAGTTATACTTCTCACTAAACGTGTACACAGGTTATGCCGTCCCGAGATGGTGTTCTGTACAACTCAACTTTAAACCCACTGAGGAAAGAATTATAACAAGTTAGTTTTATATTTTGAATTAGCCCTTAACACGAGATCAGAATACTGAAACTAGTTTGCTCTGCTCAGTTATATAATTCAGCTACACACAATCAACTTGGTGAGGTTGATCTGATCCCATCACCAAACGATCGTTTTGAAATGATGAAATAACTACTCTTGTTTCCCATATCTGAGTCTATATGTTTCGTCATCAATTAGCAGATAATTACAGGATTACTGAAGTCACAAGCACAAAAAGTCTACTCCCAACAATTTCACTTCACATAAATTCAATGGACAAGTTGATGACTGTTCAAATTGATTTCCAGTTTATGTTGCAATGTTTAAAATCTAAATCATGGTGCAGCAGCAGAACACAACAGTATTTAGTAGTGGAATCATTTATTTGATATTAAATGATAAACAAGTTATGGAGCGTACCAACTAGTTAAGATAAAAAAATTTAATTCAAAATGAATTAGAGAAACTTTCATCCTGAAAAAATAACCTGCAATAAACAAGTTAGATTAACCCTCATTTGGAGATGAGTTATAAGCGACAACTATTAGCTGGTGTTATTGATATAAGTATAAAACTTGGGCACTGTGACCGAGTATAACTCCATTATGGATAAGATTTTGTTTTGATAAATCACACAGTGTTAGCTGGTGTCTCCAATCAATCAAACAACCACACATTTATGAAAACAAAACATGTAGATCAGCGAAGAGTCTCTTTTCGGCGAACAAACGCCTCCTTCAAAGTAATCTACAGAGTCAAAAATAACCTATCCAAGGCAATACGGTTTCACCTTCTTTGTATCGCTGAAGCTCTTGTCATTCACATAGAAAAACCGGAGCTGTGCATACAAAAGAGGATTACTCAACCACTTCTACTGTCTTGGTAACAACTTTTTTGATTTGATTTTTTTTTGATTACTTAATTTTGTTTCTTTGCCTGCTCTTTAATTGCTTATAATTCTTGTATTCATTTGGAACTCTTACGTAATTTCGTATTATCTGCTTTGTTTCTATGTGCATCTTGAGTAAAACTCACTCATCAAACTATTCATTTTATTACATAACTTCTTTTAACAACTGTTTGTGACAACTCATCATCTTTGTTACTACCCTAATTTCAATAACACCTAATTTTCTTGACTGATTTTGTATTACGTAACTCTAATTACTAATCTTCACCTGTTTAGTTAAAATAACTATAACCAATTGTATTTTTGTTTGACAAACTTATTGTACACATACATACAAAATAACACATATATATTTGCGATTTTACAGCTAAGAAAATGAATTCGCCGAAAAGACTCTTCGCTGATCTACGTGTTTTGTTTTCATTAATGCCTGGATGAGGATTATACCGGAATCACACATTTATACAGTTGTATATCATTCATTTGAAGAAGTCAGTCATTGAAAATTAGCCGATGTCTTGTTATGTTAACCGACTTGTTTTAAAGACTGCCCCATTTCGAAATGATCAATGATAACTGCTAAGCACTGAAGACTTTACACCGAACAGATAGATTGCGATTATAGCCGACACAACTGATTTTGATTCACATAGAACTAATCTATCAACTTTAATTGGTATTCCTAATTGGAGACAAAAATATTTGTTTCACAGTTTATTTCAAAAATCACTAAAGCCATAATGTAGTCTACAGGTGGATTTTAAAAAAAACATCTAGGTAACTGAGATAGAGAGGAGGAGACATACACACAAAGGGAAAAAAGCTTGTTGGTAAAAATTGCCTTTTACTTACTTGATCTCCAGATGAACGATAAAACAACAGATCGAATGGGATAGCTGCTACCAGATCAATTATAAACCAGCCTTTGATATAATGAGCAGCGATACGCTTCGGGTGTGAAACAACTTCATCATTTTTATTCACATAGGTAGTACGAAAATTAATCAGAATGTCAATTATGAACATGACATCGACTAGAATGTCAACAGTTGACAATAATTTTGACGCACCCTGAGAAGTTGTAGTCGAAGACGATGACGACTGGACAGAATGAATGTTTAATGTTGAATTATTAATAGTCGACGATTTATTTCGTAGATAATTAGTACCAATAACGTTTGCAGAGGAGGTATTTCCTGACTGCATAGATGAATTACATGTAGTAAGAGGGATACAAAACAAAACAGGTTATAATTTATAAACATAGAAACAAAATGTACAAATTAACTATCTGTAGGTTGATTTATTTATTATAGGGAGCACTGATATACTATTATCGTTTACTATGTAACATTTAGAGCACAATTTATTGGCTTCATCAGGATATTCATAAGACTTTGAAATTCTGTTTCCAATGTTCAGCATTTTTTCCTTTTTATTTGTAGAACTTTCTAAAGACCAGGATGACTACTCAGTTATTTTTAATAGATAAAGTACGCATTGACTCCAGGGTCGAATACTGAGCAATAGCTATTCTCGTTTTATTTTTACTATGCTGGATTTTAAAATTACCACCATGATCTGTCCTAAAATATGACTACCTAACGATAAATAGATGAAAATCTCTGAAATGTTTCTGGTCTAAGTAGTATATTAGAATCTACTATTGCATTTAACTATCTATCCCACAAACTTTCTTTGCCATGATAACTATAAGATTTCATAGGGTTTGTAGTTGTAAAGTAGCCCCTAATATAAATCACATGATCAAAGCTATGTAGTTTGTTAATGACTGATCAAATTAAACTCGATGATTGTAATATTTGTTTTTAAATTACTTTTCATCACTTCAGCTGGAAAACCAAATAGTAACCTTCATCAGTGCATATGCACGAATGCTATCAGACTCCTAAACAGGCTCATAACTATTCATCTATTACATTGGTATCCAAAAGAGTATTCTCGAATTTCCCGCAAAATACGCAATACAAGACTATCATCACACAATGCCATGAGTAAGCATTTATTCCCACACTCTACAGATAATGACTTTCCATTAGAACTTTGAGTAGTTTACTAATTACCATGAGATTGTTATACAGTCGGAAAACTGTTAGGCAACCGCTTTCACTCTACAGTAGTTTTTATCAGTGATTTTATATCTACTGTGTCAATAAAGAAACGTGGAAGTACCCAAAATACTGTTACCAATCAATAAATTGGCAAACTTAGTTGGTAAGTTTGTGAAAAATAAGAGGAAAAAACACAAACAAGGACTCGACTGAACTATCAGCGGCGAACTTTGCACAAAAGGGGATCAGTTCAAGTTGCGATACTTCAAAACAGTGAATTTAAAATTAAGGGAAAAGAACAGAGTGACTTAATAATGAATGAAGACGCAAATCAGAAAGGACAATTAGATAAGCATTACTGAGGATATTCAGAACCATGATAATAAAGAAAGGAAATATATCAATGGTACTAAAAACTGCTTCAAGCCATGTCACCAACAGTTTCCAAACACTAATTCCTACCTTTCCAAATAACCAGAGGTGGTCTTTACCTCTCCAACAGTCAAAGGCTTCATGCTAATTTCTGGTTTGACCACATCTAATTACTCTTACAATAAAATTCTATTTCAGTTAACACTGCTCGATGCGGAAGGAATCCCATATTCCAGTCGTCCCACTGGACATAACTTCACAATCTTATTGATAGACTTCCCCCCTTAACTAGAATTCCACATTTAACCTCATTATTACTCGTCAACACGCTACATGGATCAAATTCCTATCCTTAAGGATAGGAAATTGATTAAATTGTGTACACCGGTATAATTCCTTGTTTCATCTGTTTGCATGCAAATTTATTACTTCAGATGGGGCTAATCTGCCCAGAAAAGATTTCGCATATACCATGCTATGATTCATACGTATGAATGAGAGCTGATGAGACTGCTTGCTCATTTGTCCAGGTTGAGTTAGGTGGAGAAGTATTCCAACTTAGCACCTGCTGTCTAGAATTTGAGTGCATAAGCTGATAAGTCTCATGTTCACATTGTTAATTTGAAACAACAGTAAGTCAGACCCATAACCCCACAATTATTATCTTAGTGAGTTGCTGAACCAAAGCATGTATGTATATTGACTAGAAGTTGACGACAGACGACCATAAACATGCTACCAATGAATTTAAAGCTGAGACTTATTATTTTGGGTAGCACTTGACTTTTCATCACTATAATGTGACATTGATTTCCACTCAACCTACCAATGTTCCAAAGTGTAGTGAACAAACATGCACTTCAATTAACGTATTCAGCTTAACACAACAACTTTATTGAAGACAAAACAACCTAACCGACAAATTTTGCAAACGGAAGACAAATTGTAAAATTAATTAAACTAAGTAGAGACTTAGAGGAGTAGTTGGTAGTAGGGTGAAGTACTTGCAGGTGATGGTAAAAATTCAAAGTAAGACCAGTAACAAGTACGAAACTATAAAGTGGAAAAATTCTAGTTGATTATTATACGCTAATTTAACAGTTCTGCAAATATTTCTTTTTCAACGTTTATCAAAAGCACAGACTTAAAGAAAGTCTTTTTCATCAAAATAATTATAACAGTTGTTCATTTCCTGAAATAGACGGACGGATAGGCACATGATGGAACTGTAGGAGATTACAACATTTTTCAATAATAAAAAAACTAATACTAGTTACACCGAGTTACTTAGTTCAATCTATGATTATTTTTCCTGATAAAGATGCTGTTCTTTCTAATTATAGGCTTCTTTCGCAAGTGTCCGAAATTTCATTTAACTATATTTTAAACATAAATTACTACAAATCACTGAATGCAAATTATTAAATTAAGGATAGGGCCAGTCAATAATCACCGAATTGGATGAAAACACCACTAGTCCACTGAGCTGGACTGAAGCGAATTTTTACGTAGAACCATACATAAAATTGCAGCAGTTTGAGTTTTCCCATTTCGAAAAGCGTACATAAAGGTAGAGAGCAGAACTTTAATTTAATTACACTAGACTCAAATGAACGGGAAAAAGAACCACTAGATGAAAACAATAAAGACTTAATTAACTTGAGAGGTCACAAAGAGTGACAACATTTGCACCAATGACAACGATTTCGAGTCAGGTCACCGACAGTTGCCAGTCATTTATTCTTAGCGTCTAAAGAACTCCTTACGTCGCTCAAGCATACAGCCAAAGACTACATGGGTTGATGCCTTTTTCGACTTAACTAAAACTACTTTTCAAAAATAATTCTATATTGGTCAATACTTCTCATTGAGGATGGAGATGACTTAGTATGCTTAACACATGCCCTGCCCATCTTATGTCATTTCACAATCTCATCGATTTCACTTGACTCCCCTATTAGTCTATGTCTAACTTCATTATTACTAATACTATTAGTCCTTCCAACACCAGAGATTAAGTATAAACACTAATAATTAGAAACCGTTAGTCTCTTTATTTCTTTTGCTTTCCACAGCCACACCCCACAGCCATAAGTTACGGAGGAGCGGAGAGATGTAAAGTAAAAACGTGCTTTGTTGGATAGCCAGATATCACGCCGGTATCAAAGGTATTACCAGTTGGCGAATGTCAAACGAGTCTTTGTATCCATTCTGAGATTTTGTCAGTAATCAGTCTATTAGGGCTGATGCTAGTCCCTAAGTAAGCGAAGTAGACAACACGCTCAAACATACTAGTCAGTTTCTTACAAGTAAAAAACACATGATTTAAACCCAAATAAACTAGCAACGGAACAGTCTACATCCCGGCCTGAAAAAATTTAGGTTGTTCAAATGAATTCAAGGCAGGAATTCGCAAGCTTATGTGATTGTGTCGCACCTTTGGGCTACTAGTGTAACAACAGAACACAAAAGTATTTGGTAGCGGAATCGTTTATTTGATGTACATATATAGCGAAATACATATACTTTACATCAAAATCACCATTTGCACATGTTCACCTTATTGTGTTTCATTTTTGTCTTTTTTGTTGTTTCAAAAGGATCTTTCATTTGTCTCTACTATTCCATATTCTTGAGAAAGACGTCAAACACAACATAATGCTTAAAAAGTAAGCGTGTATTTGGAAATGATTGAGGTCACCACTCATTGAGTGTTGTCATCCTGAAACACCGGTTTCGATGGCTTGGACATGTACTACGAATGTCATCCCGAAGGCTGCCGTAACAGTCGCTGTTCGCTAGTCCTGGGACTGGATGGAAAAAGTGGAGGGGTGGTCAGTCAATGAAGTGGTGCCGTAGGATGAAAGACATTTGCGTTAGGTTAGCATCAGTTGGGGTTCCACTGATAGTGTCTCAAAATGTTATCAGATATAGCCAAAAATGGCAATAATTTGCGAACATTCTTTCTTTCCTTTCTGAAAGTAACATGAAGTGATGAATATTGAGTGATCTTGACAAGTATACTAGTTTACTTTATGAATTTGTGGTGAGAGCTGTCTCCTAGCCAATTGGTTGACAGTAATTGAGGTCAAGGTTAAGATGGACAGGCGGATACAGTTAACATATAGATGAACTGACACAGCCACAAGATGTGCAAGGTTAACTGTGTGTGAGAAACAACCAATCAACAGACTGTATTTTCTACTAACATTAACCTACAATAATGTGCATCAAAATCTATAAATACGTGTTGATTTTCCGTAATAAACGTTCTGTTGCCTGACCCTTGTCTTCTGTTGTTACAAATTAATGACCTCCCTGATTTATTCTGTCCCTACTTTATATGCTGTTTTATTATTTTTGTGGCTCATCTCAGTGTCCAGATTTTACCAAGTTTGTTTTAAATAAAATAAAACTTACAAGGTTCTACCAGTAACACCTACCATACTAGCCCTAACTGATGCTTACATTTTGAACTGCAGAACTCTACTGCCAACTTCTAGCATCACTTTCAATAGCCAGTTATACGATACTTCATTGTCAGTATACACGAAATTGACTAAATTCATTGGTAGACAGAATTAATTAAATTAATGTATGTATCAAAGAATTCTACGAAACATTTACACTTGAATCTTCTTTTATATTTATATAAGTAAGAGGGAATTTACATCTGTAAGCTAATTTAATAAAATTACAGCTGTTTACTGGCAAACATTATCATAATTAAACTTTACATTTTCTATCTTAACTACCATTACTATTATTATTCTTGCTACTATTATCACAGTGAAAATGAATAGCGTCATTAACTGAGTATTAACAAAGAGAATGGGGGAGATACTGTGAGGTAGGCTCATGTTCGAAGAAAATTGATAGCGCATAGAATCAGTAATCACGCATGTAAAGTAAAAAGGTAGGAGCGTTTATAGTATATTTTTCAGCAGTGTACGCCTATACATATATATATATATATATATATATATATATATATATGGATATGCTAAAATCATAGTACAGTTGCGACGATCATTACGATGACGTACAAAAATCAGTGTAGTCTGTGCTGAAGACACAAAAAGGATAATTACTGGCAATTTAGCCAACAGAATACACAAATGCACAGCCAAATCTTACATGCACATTCGCTTCACATGTATTTGTTAAAAAAATAATAGTAGTAACCAATACTAATTAGTCAGTTGTGCATTCAGTTTTTGAGGTAATTTTTTTTCCAGTGAAAAAAGAAATCCAAAATCTTAAGGTAACTGATGAACAGCATGGTTTCATAAAAAGCTGCCATATATTTTGAATTAGTTGTCCAGACGTGGGCAGAACGCTTTAGTATGTGTCAAATTAACCCTGAGTTCCTGTGGTCATCATAAACGTCTTCTTAGAAAGAAATGCTTTACGTGAATCAATTACAAACATTAGGGCAAATAAATGATCAACAAAACCAGTTTCTAAAATAGATACTGGTCTTTCAGAAAATATGAACATCATCAGCATTTTTTAAAAATGTCACGAAGATGGTGAATAAAGCCAGCTGTTGTTTGGCTGAGAAGATTATTGTGTGTTGCCGCTCACTAGGCCTTCGACTGGAATTTAAATGGTTATTCATAAATGACATGTAGTAGTTGATGTGAAGAGGAAGTGAGGGCTTGTGGGCAGTTGTGCAGCCAGTTGAAAGTGATTTCAGAGAGCTGAGTGTAATCGAGATGTGCGGCTTAGGCAATATGTTCCACTCGGAGCCTAAGGAACCAGTACTACTACTGCTAATAGTAATACATTGCCGCAAGAATTTACTCAATGCCTGCGTAGTTTACTGGTAGAATTTCCGGTTTCTTCACTAACATCTAACGTGCTACACCCTGTTATTATAGCCCAGAGGTGAAGTGAAGTTATTAGGTTGATACAATCGCAAGGGCGATGACAACCATATGTACTTAACCACATCTTAACTCAAGACTATTCGCCTCACGATGAGTTAGTATAAATTTATTGGTGGTCAAAAACATAAAAATATGTTTATATTGATCACAAATTACAAAGTCGTTAACAGCATGCAGACGTACAAAGGAAAGAATGGCTTCATTACTTACGGAAATTAATTTTGCATACTTGTTTCCTGTATTCATGAGAAAAACTGTCGTATACGGAGTGAAAATGGCAGTGTAAATAATTAGTACCAAAATAATCCAATCCCAAACAGCTTTGAAAACACTGTAATGTTTTAAAGTAAATTTATGCATACGTGGAGACTGGAAACGATGCTCCACATGCAAATCTTCATCCATAGAGAGGAACTTTATATGTGAAAAAGGGACAAAGTATAATCAATGAATTTCGAATAAAACTCAATAAGTAATGTTTTAAACACCGTTACTTGTTATAATACAAATTATGTATCTTATAGCATCAGACTAGTTTAAAAACATGAATTTTATCCTTGGCATAAATACAAACTCAAATCTAATTTATATCCGGTGACAATAAGTGGATATACATACTTTATTAGGTGGAGTGAGTTAGAAATGGCTGAAGAACTACAGGACAAGCATATTAAAGTACCGCATCCTTACGATTTGCATTGTTTCGTACAACTGTTTGATAATATTCAGATATTGGATGGTTTCTTTCAATCACATAACTTATGATAGTAGAGCCTATTATATCTGGAAACTACGTTGAAAAGACATTCCCTGTGATCATTACCAAAATAATCAGTGAACGAGACCAGTCGGAGAAAATCACACTGGACTTTCATACTTCAACTACAATTTGAGACATTTTAACTAATAATAGTGATTAATTACTGTCGAATTCCCTTCCCTTACTTAATCCGTTTGCTCAAATCTTTCTTGATACGTGAGTGCTACAAACTATATCAGTCTCATTCAGGCTATGGATTAGTAGTAGACACCAGCATAAAGTCGGATTATCCCTCTTAGTGTTGCTTATCATTTCAACTAGCATCCTTGAGACTAAACCATAGATTCTTCCTCTTCCTATTCATATTAATTACTGGATATTTAATAAATTTTCTAACCAAGATGTGTAAGTTTCGGTTAATAGGTAGTAGGGGTCGATTTGTCATGTGAATTAGCAATTTATGATTACGTACAATTTTAATAATAAATTACTTATTAACCAATTACACTTTTCAAAAGTTAAACCGTAAATTTGCTTACGTGTACACACACGAGTAGAAGCAAACGTATCGAAGAATATCGGAAGCATATGATTAAAAGCTTACAATTAAAGCAGAAGTATGACTTTAAAACGACATGAAGTGTATTTCACATATCAAAGCACTTTGTAAAGGTCAGTGATCACTGGAAAAATAGTACTAACATACTTGAGCGAATTTTTCAGTAACAGATGACTTTGGAGGTTCTGCATGGCTACTCAATACCAACTGAAGAGCCTCAGACTCTTCACTGGCTGGATGCAAGTGGCGACTCCTTGTAGAACTGTGTATCATTTCAGGATTTTCGTCTTCATTGTGGCTTCTATACCAAGTAGCCGGCCTATGCTTTGATTTTTCAAGACGTTGAGGATTGCCTTGTCGACTTTCTGATAAATCCATCTTTGACTGAATCAATCCCCTAGGAGATACATCACTCTGATCCTTAGGTAGGAAGAGAGAAACTGGACGACACCCTTTCGACTGGACAGATACACATTCAGTAGTGCAATCTTCTATAAACTTGGTTTTCTCGTTTGCTGACAAAGTTTGGGGGCAAGCTAGTGGTTCTGTAGAACCGGAGTCTTTGTAAAATGAAAATGTAAACAAAAATAAAGTGAAATTGTCTGGGTACTTTTTATTTGTAACTTGCATAATTTCGCAAAATAGCGGTTTGCATTAAGTGGTCACTTTGAGTGAAACACATGTTAGCTACAAGATAACTTCATAATAATCGAGTTTTTATTCCTCATATTTTAAAAAATCAATCTAGTATATAATTACTGGCGTGACTACTCAGGCTGGAGTTTGTACAGCGTTCTGATCCCGTGGCCCAATATCACCACATAGCTTATGACTTCACACTATTCAAATGCAGTGTTGGTCACTTTATTATTACAGAAATTACGGAAGATATGCTCGTCTCTCTCACAAAGACGTTGCCCGATACCAAACTTGAAAGTAGTGGTAGACGAGTCTATTCGTTTTTACTGTTCTCTCCAATTACTGTGGCATTCTGTTAATAGTGTTTTTGGAGTCACCACCATCGTTTTTAGGGTACGCTCAGCTGAAAACTACCAACATTACCAAATAATATTATGTTCCTTGCTCCCACTTATAATTCTATCAAGTTATATTAAATACCGTTTATAAATGTCCATTTAAGTTAGGAAATCCTATAATATCGAGAAGAACAAATGAGGCTTCGCGAATTAATTAGCCTGGGAACAAGTATATAAATCAAGTGACTCGCTAATCTTCTTGCTCGTGAAACTTTGAACTCAAATCGGAGGTACATCAGAATAAAGACCGTCTATGTTTCTGCAAGTAACTAGGAAGACATTCAAGTGGCATATTTCAGCCACCTACACCGATACGGGTAATTGCATTTTTAAAGCAAGTCAGATAATCCATTAAAAACAAATGTTACAAAGTCGAAAGTGTGATTTATATATTTCTCATCAATGATCTAATGATTTGACTTCAAACAACGGTTTACAGTTTGCGTGCATAAGTTTGAGCAGCCAAATAGTATGTTACTAAGATTTGCAACTGTTTCCAGGTAAACTATGAAATCTCTGTAAACGAGTAGCAGTTAGTAGTTTGTTGAAGAGAAGTTCGGAAGCATAAAACCCCTGTGTGCTACAACGCTGTCATACTAAGCACACCCACTAAGATTATGTGGAATTTTTGTCTGATTGCAGTCATACGGTCTTCAATACATGGATGAACAGATAGAGAACATTTCTCAGAAATAGAATCAAAACTGATTTGTTGACAGCACTGAACAATGGAGCTAGATCCTTGAACAAACGCAAGACTACAGTATATATGCTATCAGTGCAAACTACAGTAGTTTGCATGCAGCCCTTAAAATTGTGCTATAGGTGGTTTTTCAGCATACGGAGATTTACATAATATGGTCTATACTGGCTAAGTATCGACAGAAAGTTATGAATCAAGGTCTGGTGGACCTTTGCATTACTGAATAGTGGTTAGCATAATAAAAACTCAGGTTAATTTTAATTACAGATTTACTCTCTATATCTTTGTACATAAAAGTTATTTTGTAACATAAGGAATGCGAATTATTCCGCAGTGTATAGTACAATAGTCATACGATTTTAAAACTCTGAAAAGACCCACCTCCAGCAATAGGATTTAGTTTTAAATCAGATGTATCACTTTTTCTATCTTTAAAGTGTCTTCTGAAATCCATAACAGGCTTAGACGACTCTGAAAATGTAAATACAATAATTATGAGTACTTGGAGCATTTGAACGACTGCCAGTCTTCGGCATATGATTAGGACTTCTGTTCACGCGGAACGACTTAAGCTGCCACCTTGTGTATAGACTCGGCCCTTAATAAAGCAGTCAGGTCAGTATAACACACTACTTTTGTTAATCTGAGATGTCTGCGCATCACTGACTTCCTCTCTGAAGAAAAGTAAATATAGGGGTAATCCACCAGTTTCATCCCGAACAGGCGTTACGACAATGCGGAAAGATATGACACAATCTAAAAGTAGCCAAATGTAGGAAATGAATTTACTGTCTCTAGAATACAGGTTCATGCATATTTCTGTCTCATTTGGTTGATTAAGAGATGCCAAAAGTGCTTCCATAGATCCAGGAGTGGTTTCCGGACCGTAAAACACGGACAAGGCGGAAGACTTGAACATAAGTTGGCCCTTTGTGTATCGAAGAAGATCACAGAGCCCATCGCTACAGTATATAATTGGTCTGGATGGCAAAGAGGCATTTGCTACGATGAAGTTTTCATCTTTTGGGTGAATAAGAAAAATAAAGTGAACTTACACTGAGAATCAAAGTTCCTGATAAGAGTGACGATGTAAGTGTTGTGTGGCGCAATATGACCTCTTTTAATCGGCATAGTTGCAAACCAATTAAGGTTTGAAACTACGACTTCAGGCTCTTAACCCGAACGTGTTCCGCGCCAAATCAGAATAGGCGCTTCATCTACAACCTTCAGAATTGCAGTGACAAAAGTATTCCAATTAGACTTGAAGAAAGAATAGTTTTGCACTTTCAGATAGAAATGTTTTGACGCATAATTGCTTTTTATGTCCCTTCTATGTCAGCATAGGAAACTCTGATACTTATGTTAATAGTCAGAAAGCCGTGCTAAAATGGGTTGCTTACTCATTCCATAGTCATTCTTCTGAATCTATGAAACTTACATTTTAATGTTTCATAATTTACTGGAAATCGTCTATTTGTATTTTGAAAATAATTTTAGTTAAATTTATACGGATTCGTGCATTATGAGGACGGGAAATTAATGATTATGCTTTTTAACGGAACAAATCTGTAAATCTGGTGGACTACAAAGGTTAGTGTTTTCCCAAGCTAAAGCCTTTTTGAACAGCCACTGAATAGTGGAAAGTCCTTGGATTCTGAAGACTGGGAAATAGCTGGGGCAGACAGTAACATCTTCAGGGTAGTCAAAACCTACCTACTCAGTTTCAGAGAACCTCTTTGAAACTTTTGGCGACGAGGCTTAAGAATGGTCTAAGACAGGCAGCAAGGTGTGAATTACCTGGCCACTATCCTTGAGGGGGTTACAGTCAGTAGTTAAGAAACCATAATGACATCCCCATAGTTGAAACAAATGTAATAACTATCATATTTGCATACAGCTTCACAGTCATTCGATATTGGATGCTAACCTGCACTCCTTGAGTCGGTAAGTTAAGCTGATGACATGTGCCAAGGAATCCAACCTACTTGCAGCATTCTTAGGTTACATTCTATTGTTCTAGCAAGATATCTTGCTAGTTATGAGCTCATCGCTAGGTAACATCAGTGCCAAAATAACTTGGGTGGTTTGATTGTCGTTCTGATTTGACTTATTTGCTCTTCTCTGGGTCAGACAAGTACATCTGATGATTTGAGTTTTAAATGTGAGGACTGTACCATCATCCTATGATCCATGCTCAACAGTATATTATAGATAATAGAGAACTTTACCACTCCTTTTTAATTATAATGCAGTTAGTTGTCACATTACTGTTACCTCCGGGGCTCTGTATGAAGTATTGAAGATGAAGCACCCTGTAAACATTTGTAATGCGGTAAGTCACATGCTTACTTAGTAAATCCACCAAACACTAGACTTCAGAACTGACAAGTAACACCAAAAGAACGATAAGATTTCTAATCCTGTTACTTACATGAAGACCAGTAGGTCATTTCGTGCTTGAAGTCCGATATTACTGAGCTCACTGCCGAAAAAGACAACTTTGGTATGCACCATCATAGGTACTCTTACAAGAAAATAAGTGTAAGGTGTAATGATTATTTCCAGTGACGTATCCATTTTTACGTGCTTATGATTTAACTGTATGGTTTTTTAGTTAGTCCAGTTTATTCGTGAAATACCAAAAGGTGCGAAAAAGATACTTTAGAATCACTCGGAATACCATTTTTCAGTAAAAAGGTTGAGTAATGTCATCATCAGCCCAAAACACGGACCTCCACCTTGGCAGTCGGAGAGATACTTCTCACAATAAATCGTCAGTCACTCCTATTCTCCTACCAACACCTACTACAAAAATAAACTACATACTCATGTTAAAAGTTGTTATTCTGTAGGTTGCAGTTGATTCTTCGACAATTAGTCCATAAACAGTTGAAAATGTTCAGAATGAAGTGTCACGACCATCATTCAGTAGTGCAGTGGAAGCTTACATATTCAGAGTAGAACTGAGCAGTCGGCCAAAAACAATACCCTACCTGTTGGTGTCTCAGAGGTTAGTCCAACAACCTCACAACTGACAACTGTGAACGTTAACACTTATTGGACACATACGCACGTAGAGACCCTTATAGATTGTAATGCACATTCCAACGTTAAGGACTCTTTTAATTTGTGCATGTGCGAACTGGTGCTAACAGGATTCTGCCATTTTCCGCTGTACAGTCTATACGCATATCCGCTGAGTTTGTATTAAGGCAATACCCGTTAGATAAGTTCTGGACCTTTTCTCTTGGGTAATCTTTACCTTTTATCTTAATCAAATATACGGCGTCCTTGGGCGCCTTTTACCGAATAATATCCTGATAGTGATGCGAGGGTAGCAAACATTACTCCTTTTGGTCTCTTTGGGTTTCTACGCATGCCTGTTGGTTTACGGAACGCCGCTCAGACATTTCAGCGTTTAATTATTGATGTCTTGCCTGGACTCGACTTTGCCTATGCCAATCCGGATGATATTCTGATAACTAGTCAGGGTGGAGGGAATCATTATGTTCACAAACAATAAGTTTGCCATCAGATTTCGTAGCAATAGGTAACAGTCAACCCGGTCAATTGCCAGGTTGGCGTCCAATCCTTAACTTCCATCGGACATATTATCGATAAGCATGGGATTCGACCTTTACCTGAAAAGTTACGAACAATCCAAAACTTCACAGTACCGACGTCTCTAGATTAATTCCTCACATTTCTCGGTAGGCTAGTTTAACACCTACCTTTTATTCCCCAATATGCGCGTATTTCGACTGCCCTGACTAGTCTTCTGAAAAGTAATGGCAAAAACCGACGTTTACACCTGAAGCACTGGGAGCATTAAAGTAAATCAAGATGGCTACTGCAGACACTACCATGTTAGCGCGTCTGGAAATTAAGCTTCCACCCCAGCATTTCGGTAGCCACATCTAGCTCTGCCATAGTAGCTGTCCCACAACAGCTCATGAATAGAAGCTGGAATCTCCTAGCTTTTTCCCGAAAGCTGTCTGTATGTGAAATGAAATACAGCACTTTTGGTCTTGCCATTTACGCTTCCACCAAACACTTCCGCCACTTTGTTGAAGGTCGTGAGTTCACTGTTTGTACTGGCCACAAACCCTTGGCTCATGCCAGTCGAACTGCTACGGATAGATACCCTCCACGTGAATTACGTCAATTGTACTACATTCCACAATCCTCGTCGGATATCCAACATGTTTATGGCGCAAATTACCCGATGGCAGATGCATTGTCACGAATCTGTACCATGACGGCACCGCCAAACACTGAATCGCAAAAAATGGCAGAATTGCATTTATCAAACTTGAATGTAGACAAAACGTACCACAACACTTCTCTGGAGATTAAGTGTAAGCCTCTTCCTGATAGTGAGGATACTTTAGAGGCTGAGGGTGTTGACGTTCATGGATAGTACGAAGTATACTAACGTAAGATCTAATACCTACAAATTCTATGATACTCGTTCCACGTAGACCAAAAGCAAAGCAATGCACTAGGATCTATCGGACATATTACGAATTATATTTCGGGACCAAATGGAAGACCAAATGGACCAGCTAGAAATTGCCCACGAACGAACATAACACGATGGCGTGCCAAATGGAGTGGATACTTGACCGGAAGCCTTCAGCTGAACAAGTGAGGGTCAGCATCCAATGTTCAGTGATGAATGCTCAGGCCAATAATTCTGGGAAGTTACCCACCGCCACACTACCATTATTTGCAACATGTTCACTGATACTCCATGACCTACTGTTCCTCAGACTTTACACTGTGCAGTTTTTGGGTGTTTACACAACCTTCCACACACATGAGTACGTACTACCGACAAGCTGACGTCAGCTAGATATATTTGGCGCAGCATTTAACAAGATGTGCATAATTGGGCGCGTTCTAGGACACAGTGCCAACGCTCCGAAATTCACAAGCACAGTGACACTCCTGTTGGACCACTTGATACAGCTGATGCACGTTTAAGCTATGTTCATTTAGAAATCGTAGGTCCACCGCCTCCTCCTCATGGCCAATCATAATTACAGGTGTAGTTGCTTTGCTCTCTGGAAGGAGGCTGTTCCTATTACCGACACAGAAGCTGAAGCAATTTGTTAAGCATTCATGGAAAGACAGATTGCACATTTCGGATACCCTTCGACGGTGACAACAGGCAGTGGGAAACAATTTGAATCTGTAGCCTTCAAAAGCTTTTTGAACTGTTGGGATGTACCATAGCGTACTGCCTAGCAGCCAACGGACTTGAAGAGTGTGTTCATCGGCAATTCAAAGCTTCTTTGATGTCCGCTGATTACGCCAGATGGACAGATTCTCTTCCTCTAGTCCTTCCCAGCATCCATTCCACTCTTATTATGGATTTACAGTGGACCTCAGCAGAGCTCGTTTACAGAACCATATCTCGTTTACCTGGTGGACTAGTTTCTCCAGAAGATGCCTAACTAAGTGTTTCTGATATTCGTCATTACTCTCAGTGTCTAGCAAGTATTATTCGTCAAATGCAACCAATTCCAACACGTGCGCAAGGCAGGCAAGTGCAGCTAAATGTCAGACTTCAGGAACGTACCCACGTTTTCGTGCGTTGGGACGCTGTGTGTAAACCCTTGCAAAGTCCTTGGAACTTATCAAAGCCATCAGTAGGAAAAATATGTTTTAACTGAGCAGGAGGTCAGGACACTATCAACGTTATTTTTGACTGAAGGCAGCTTGCAGTGAGGGTGAACCACTATCCTCTGCGTCGGCGACACCAGGAAAATCCCTTAAGCTAGACCCCAACTCAGACCTAACAGCTGCAAAACCTCTTAAACCTCCTAGTACTGCGTCTAGTGACACTAGTAAAGAGCCTCCTGCACGCACTATTCGGTGTGTGCACTGGTCTAAGCGCTACAGATACTTTCTCCATTTGGTCAACATCAGATATCGTGTAACTGTTGTATTTCTCACATGATGTAATCCTACTTCCATATTACAGTAACCGTTTATGTGTAAATTGTCACCTCTATTTGTGCATTTGGCCTCTGATTATAATTTGATTTCTTTTACCCTAGAATATCCCACTTAATTTGAAAATGTCTTCTGTTCTGTAACACTCTCTAGCATCAGCTATCTATTTCTTCATATTTATCAGGGAGTTTCGCATTGTGGCCTTATGATTATAATTCTTGTTTAGATCAAGGATTATTCACTGGATACGATGCCGGCTTCGATCGTTA